CTGACATCTAGCAGAGGCCGTAAACTGGGAAGGCTGTAAAACATACACACATATAAGATAACAGGCTTAGCAACTGCATTCCAATATCCTTTGTATCAGAAATGACAGTGTAAACACTCTAATTTATAGCGAAGAATGAAGAAATTCATATTACACCACGCTGAAGGCAGGATTTAGAATGAAGCCAACAAAAGCACAGCTCTGCTCTTCTGACTAGAGGTTTAGAGTTTATTGAAAGATTGAACTGGTTTCTGTAATCTGGATTAAGCTAAAAATCGATACCCAAAAGGTTCTGAGCTGGTATTAAAGGAATGTTCCAGGCTAAATATAAGTTAATCTCTATTGACAGAACCTGTCAAATTCTGTCGATTGCCACAGACACCTCAGTTTACTCATCAAGCAAACATGTTTACAGTAATACATTTCAAATGGAAGTCTAAGGTGTTCTGGAGGGTTTAAAAGCTCACATCTCTTGCTAATGCACTTATATTATTATGTACAGTGTAGATTTTAGGAATAGACCCTTTTCCAGGGTTTACTGGTTTTACATGATCATAACTGGGATGAAAACTTGGAAATAATAATAATACATTCATTTAAAAAATTTTCTATAATTAAAAAAAAAATTTTTTTACATTTTCCCCCTTTCATGCCACAAAGATGATCAACCGAGCTTAAGTTCTGTTTAGTTAATAATTATGTTAATTACCACAGGCATTTTTACCTGTCCCTCAGTTTGTGAAATCAACAACAACAACAACAATAATAATATAGCTTTTAATTTATATGTTCCTATTTTATTTTAGTTTTTAATAATAATAATAATAATATTTAATTTATAATATTAATAATAATCCTTTATATTTAACGTTTTAATGTCAGTAAATGATCACCAGTTTAGATATTAGAAATTTAAACTTTCCATGAGGGACTAGAACCAGTAACCTTCTGGTTACAAGCCCTGAGCTCTCTACAGTTTCCCACTTGAAAACAAAAAAAAAAGTCAATGCAAACCTCAAAGTCATTATGTGTCCATTGGCGCAGAAGCAGGCCAGACAAACGCTGTTACAAACCGACACCACGTCAGCCCGCAGCACGAAGGACGACTCAGTGATGTTATGCACATATAGACAGGCCTGGGAGGGCATGAAGAAGACCTTGGCCTGCCTCTCCGAACACACTACAGCTAAGTGACCATCTCCACTGGCCTCTTGAGAAGACGAGGGCGAGAAGTTGACCAGTTTCCGCTTGCGGGGTCGATCTGGGTCATCGGGGGCATGTTGATCCCGCCACACCTCGTAGGGACTGTTGATAAGAGCACCTCCACAGTCCAGAAAAGCAAACCGCAGAATGGATCCCTTCAGCATTAACACTGTGCCTGAGAGGAAAAACCAGAGAGAGAACAAAAACATAAGGATAGGAACATTGCATTCAGGGGCATTCATGAATTAGAAAAGGAAGAAATCAAGAGATACCAGTGGGGGCCACAGTAACGGGGTCTTCCTGGCGTTCCTGCTCGTCGGTAGGAATGGACATTGGGATGATGAGCACCAGGCCCAGACTCGTGCCCACCCACAAGCATGGCGTAGGCAGGGTGTCTGACTTACGTCCGTACGACTCTACAAACTGCAGACACACACACACACACACACACACACAACTCTCCTCCTGAACACACACAAAGGCACAGCCACCTGTAGGTTGTCACACATCTCCTGGCTGTAAGTGATTCTCTGTATCTCTGTGGGGGAGCACAGATACAGCGCCTGCCCTCCGTTGGTGAAGCAGAATGTTCTAGCAATGCGCATGTCCGTTAGCGGCAGGTAGCTGACATCTAGCAGAGGCCGTAAACTGGGAAGGCTGTAAAACATACACACATATAAGATAACAGGCTTAGCAACTGCATTCCAATATCCTTTGTATCAGAAATGACAGTGTAAACACTCTAATTTATAGCGAAGAATGAAGAAATTCATATTACACCACGCTGAAGGCAGGATTTAGAACGAAGCCAACAAAAGCACAGCTCTGCTCTTCTGACTAGAGGTTTAGAGTTTATTGAAAGATTGAACTGGTTTCTGTAATCTGGATTAAGCTAAAAATCGATACCCAAAAGGTTCTGAGCTGGTATTAAAGGAATGTTCCAGGCTAAATATAAGTTAATCTCTATTGACAGAACCTGTCAAATTCTGTCGATTGCCACAGACACCTCAGTTTACTCATCAAGCAAACATGTTTACAGTAATACATTTCAAATGGAAGTCTAAGGTGTTCTGGAGGGTTTAAAAGCTCACATCTCTTGCTAATGCACTTATATTATTATGTACAGTGTAGATTTTAGGAATAGACCCTTTTCCAGGGTTTACTGGTTTTACATGATCATAACTGGGATGAAAACTTGGAAATAATAATAATACATTCATTTAAAAAATTTTCTATAATTAAAAAAAAAAATTATTCTACATTTTCCCCCTTTCATGCCACAAAGATGATCAACCGAGCTTAAGTTCTGTTTAGTTAATAATTATGTTAATTACCACAGGCATTTTTACCTGTCCCTCAGTTTGTGAAATCAACAACAACAACAACAATAATAATATAGCTTTTAATTTATATGTTCCTATTTTATTTTAGTTTTTAATAATAATAATAATAATATTTAATTTATAATATTAATAATAATCCTTTATATTTAACGTTTTAATGTCAGTAAATGATCACCAGTTTAGATGTTAGAAATTTAAATAGTAGTTTTTCCATGAGGGCCTAGAACCAACAACCTTCTGTTTACCAGCCCTGAGCTCTACTCACTACACCATAGTTTCCCAATTGAAACAACATCAACAAAATGTTAATGCAAACCTCAAAGTCATTATGTGTCCATTGGCGCAGAAGCAGGCCAGACAAACGCTGTTACAAACCGACACCACGTCAGCCCGCAGCACGAAGGACGACTCAGTGATGTTATGCACATATAGACAGGCCTGGGAGGGCATGAAGAAGACCTTGGCCTGCCTCTCTGAACACACTACAGCTAAGTGACCATCTCCACTGGCCTCTTGAGAAGACGAGGGCGAGAAGTTGACCAGTTTCCGCTTGCGGGGTCGATCTGGGTCATCGGGGGCATGTTGATCCCGCCACACCTCGTAGGGACTGTTGATAAGAGCACCTCCACAGTCCAGAAAAGCAAACCGCAGAATGGATCCCTTCAGCATTAACACTGTGCCTGAGAGGAAAAACCAGAGAGAGAACAAAAACATAAGGATAGGAACATTGCATTCAGGGGCATTCATGAATTAGAAAAGGAAGAAATCAAGAGATACCAGTGGGGGCCACAGTAACGGGGTCTTCCTGGCGTTCCTGCTCGTCGGTAGGAATGGACATTGGGATGATGAGCACCAGGCCCAGACTCGTGCCCACCCACAAGCATGGCGTAGGCAGGGTGTCTGACTTACGTCCGTACGACTCTACAAACTGCAGGGTGGTTACGGCCTCTTTAGTCTCTCTGTCTATGCTGGAAACGCTAGAGCTCCGTGACCGGCTGAACGAGTTTTCTCGACTCTCTGAGAAAGAATGGAGAAGGGGAGAGAGAAAGAGCGGGTGGGGGAGAAGAGAAATGTCAAGAAAGATGGAAGATAGAGGGCAGACGGATGAGTAGTAAAAGATAAAGAATAGCAGAGAGTGAAAAGATAACAGAAAAAGATGGTAGAAGAATCCTTATGCTGTTAAAAAGGGGAATAATTGAAAGTGGAGTCACTCCATATGTGCGTTCACAATAACATTTGAACCACATCAACCAGAATCCAAGTAATAAAGTGGTACAAATGTGCAATTGCAAACACAACTCTATTGTTTTTTAGATTTGTTATCGAAAAGGTAAAAACATTAAATAATGTACATACAGGACAGGGTGGCACATACATAACGAGTGAACACATCTTAAAATTCTCCTGTTCACATGATCAAATGTGTCACAGATTTCATTCACATGCACAGAGGACACACAGAACACACTCTCACAATTTCAAACCCATTCATCACCTTTACTGTCCTTTTGACCTTGAAATGCTTCCAGGTTCATATCCACTGCATATTCATATAGCCAGGCCTACACAGAAAAATTTTTCTGAACTTGCCTGATTTGTGCTTCATTCGATTAATTAAACTCTCTCTCCTGCTTATCTTAATCTGAAGGATGTCATGAAAAAGATGAAAAAAAGACAAAAAGATATTTGTTACAATACAATATGTATTTTGATAATATATGATTGGTTGCTGTAATTGTCATGTCTCATTTGACATTCATTATCAATGTACTATGTCACGCATTACAAGGAAACAAACATTCTATATTAGAATTTGAGTAGTGTTTTCCATTGAGAATCCTGTTCATCCTGCAGAACAAAAGTTTACTGCATTCTCATAACATAAACCCATTATAAGAAACACTGACAGACATTTGTCATAATGTCAGAACATGGGTTTGTTTGTGTAGTGATGAATGGAAAGTAATTTGTGGAGAGAATACCAAATATTTGTAGGTACATCAAAAAAGCTGTGGGTTTCTAAAGTGTCAGTTACAATATTTTATAATATGCCACATTACATATCATAATGACCTCTATAATTTATTATTACTTAAATACTAAACTTCTGCTTCTGGGTCATTCTCAGGAAACAGTGTTGTGTGCTACATGTGTTCCCATGATATTCATTAGATTTGTTATCGAAAAGGTAAAAACATTAAATAATGTACATACAGGACAGGGTGGCACATACATAACGAGTGAACACATCTTAAAATTCTCCTGTTCACATGATCAAATGTGTCACAGATTTCATTCACATGCACAGAGGACACACAGAACACACTCTCACAATTTCAAATCCATTCATCACCTTTACTGTCCTTTTGACCTTGAAATGCTTCCAGGTTCATATCCACTGCATATTCATATAGCCAGGCCTACACAGAAAAATTTTTCTGAACTTGCCTGATTTGTGCTTCATTCGATTAATTAAACTCTCTCTCCCGCTTATCTTAATCTGAAGGATGTCATGAAAAAGAAAAAAAAAAAAAAAGACAAAAAGATATTTGTTGCAATACAATATGTATTTTGATAATATATGATTGGTTGCTGTAATTGTCATGTCTCATTTGACATTCATTATCAATGTACTATGTCACGCATTACAAGGAAACAAACATTCTATATTAGAATTTGAGTAGTGTTTTCCATTGAGAATCCTGTTTATCCTGCAGAACAAAAGTGTACTGCATTCTCATAACATAAACCCATTATAAGAAACACTGACAGACATTTGTCATAATGTCAGAACATGGGTTTGTTTGTGTAGTGATGAATGGAAAGTAATTTGTGGAGAGAATACCAAATATTTGTAGGTACATCAAAAAAGCTGTGGGTTTCTAAAGTGTCAGTTACAATATTTTATAATATGCCACATTACATATCATAATGACCTCTATAATTTATTATTACTTAAATACTAAACTTCTGCTTCTTGTTCATTCTCAGGAAACAGTGTTGTGTGCTACATGTGTTCCCATGATATTCAATCATACACTCTAAAAAATGCTGGGTTAAATACAACCCAGTGCTTGGTAAAATAGGGACAAACCCAGCAATTGGGTTGTTTTGACCCAGCGGTTGGGTTACTACCCAGAAGGCTGGGTTATACATTTAACCCAACAACTGGGTCAAAACAACCCAATTGCTGGGTTTGTCCCTATTTTACCCAGCACTGGGTTATATTTAACCCAGCATTTTTTAGAGTGTATGAGTAAATTAATTAACATGGTACTGCACCCAATAACATTATATAATAGATGTATCTCTTTAATGTCCAAGTAAATAAATAAATGTATTTATAATGCATTTATAAAAAAATATATATATATATATATAGTGATTAATTTTCACACAAAACAGGAAAACTGACTTTAAATTATGTGCTAGCTAAGAACATTATTAATAATAATTGCATAATAATCCCGCATTTAGCCTCAAAACATATTTAAAGGTCAGCAAAAACTATTTTTTTTTTTCAAATTGTAAGAAAACATGAATGGTTTGAAATAATGTAGCATTTTTGTCACACCCCATTGGACTTTTGTTGTGTTTTCTTCCCCCATGTGCTCTGTGTGACCTAGTTTTCCCTCATGTTTGATTGTGTCATTCAGTTCACCTGTGTCTTGTTAATTGTCCTCATTTTCCTGTGTATTTAGTTCTAGTCTGTCCTGTGTTCTCTCGTCCAGTGTTAAAGTTGAGTTGTGCGTGTTACCTGCCTGCCTTCTGTGGATACCTTCTGTGTGGATTAATTAAAGACTGTTTACGTTCATCTTCTTCTTCGTGCGCTCATTATACACCGCACCCCTGACAATTTTACATTACTGTTCAAATATTTTGGCTTAGTAAGTTTTAAGAAATTAATACTTTTATTCAATAAAGATATTTAAATTGATCAAGAGTGAAAGGTCTATTTCGAATAAATGGAAAATGGTTATATTTCACACAGTATTACAGATATTATTGTATTTTTGATCAAATAAATGCTTACCGACCCAAACCTTATAATCGGTATTGTATTTAGGGTTTTGGCATTAAATTAATAAATGAATTTATTTTCTTGCACAAACAGCACTGTTTCTTGAGAACGACTCTCCTATGGCCCAGAGAAGGTCGTCTTTCTTTTCCTGGTGAAGGTACACATGTCCATGAAACACATAAAACCATCAACATGGTCATGATAGCACACCTTACTATGTTCTGTGTACACTATCCCCCAGTTTGAATCCTAACCATCAAAGACCTCACAACATTCACCTCTACATTGATGACAACATTAATGATTGATAATACTGACGGAATCATCAGACCTCCCTTAGACATTGACATACAGAAAGTGTTTTCCTGAAACAGGTTAAGCCTAGTCTTAGACGGATAACTTTTTTGTCACATGTAGTCCAGGACTAGATTTAATCTGTGTCTCGGAGATGTCACAGTGCGTGGGATGGACAGACGACTACAAGCCGACAACACTGCAGATTGACAGAGGCTGGTGTGAAACACAAAGCAGACATCATTGTAATGTTCAGCTGCTAGCAACTACAGTGTCAATCCAAACCTGAAGATGAAGAGCAAGGTGAGACTCTGAACATCATTCAACGTGACGAGAGAGGGGTTCTGACCAAGCAACTATGAGCCACAGGACGGGACAGAGCGAGACGTGACGCTACAGGGTGAGTGGTCCTTGTGACCCTCAAAAAGCCCCTCCTTACCTCTCTCGCTCCAGGAGTAGGTGGTGATGTGATGCTCATCATGAGAGTACATACTGACTCCATGTAACTGCTGCAGCATGGCTCGTCGGGATGGATAACCTATCCATCAAATGCACACACACACGACACCCCAACGGCCACAGTCACAGACATGTACATACAACCATACGCGACCACGACATACAAAATGACACAAATGTCAGACGTAAACCAAAATACCAAAAATACATGACCAGAACATCACGGCGTACAGAGAGTGACAGAAAAAGAGAGAAAGAGAAAACCAATAAACCAATATGCCAGAAAGAAAGAAAGAAAAAAGGGTCCTGACAGGTCGATATTTTTTCGAATACCTGCCCACAACATTTCAGTAGATTAGATAGCCAAAAAAAAAACACTAAATGAAACAAAAATTAAAACCGTCGACAGAATGAAATCCATTCTGGGCTGTGATGTGTGTGTGTGTGTGTGTGTGTATGTGTGTGTCTGTGATCACAATAATTAATGGGACAATTCACTCAAAAATGAGATTTCTTTCATCATTTACTCACACTAATGTCGGTCCAAACCTATAATACTGGCTTCAAAATGTTAAAAAACTTGTTGAATGGTGTATTAGTAATGGGAAGATCAGATAATTTTAGGATCTTTGAATCTTGTTCAGCAAAATGAACAAATCTTTATTCAAGTCATTTCATTCATATGAAGAGAGTTATTAAAAATAATTAAAATGTTACATTTCCAGCAGCCAAATTTCTCCAACACGTCTACTTGCGTCAACTTTCACCATATTCCAAATGAGAAAATCATGACAATACCAGCTAAGACAAATTATGAGAAATGATTAATGATTAAATTACTACTCAATTGTGTCTTCTTGTCTGAGTGGTTCATATTCTGGGAGCTTGTTTCCTCTAGCCTGTTGCCCTAAAGCAGAACCTAAAATATAACAGTCACACTAAAATATCGTTGTCACCCATGTAATCATTTCTGTTACCTTTACATAGCCTATGCGGCTTTCATGTCACAAAAGAATGAATGTCTATAAGACCAGAAGACTCGAGAGGTGAACAAAACATTTGTTTCCTTCTGTTTACCATAAAAAAGTCTATCGAAATGAATGAATAGCTCATGGGAGACCAATCACTTTAGCATATAATATGATATATATGAATACTTTTATGGTATAGAGATTTGTTGACTTTTTTTGGACATTTCTAGTCACTGTGTGCTTTCACAAAAAGCAGCATGAACGTTCTTCAAGATATATTTTTTTATGTTCCACAGAACAAATAAAGTCTAATGGGTTTAGAACGACATGAAGGTGAGTAAATAATAACAGAATTTTCATTTTTGGGTGAACTATCTAATTAACAGTGACCAAGACGGGACTCTGATGTCTCACAGCATTCATTTCCCAAGCAATATAAGGCAAAGCAAACTGAACACAAACCCACAAATCCACTCTCACACAGTGCAAAATGGTCACACATAAAATCACATATAGGTTTGTTTGAAGACACGCAAATTGACCTTTCTAACAACATCACCTGTATCTGCGGGAACTGAGAACATAATTAGTCATATCCATCCTGTTAGCCTGTTAGTGTGAATATTTCATGATATAGATGTCTGAGAGAACTGATCTGCTCGCTCGTTCACACTCTCTCTGGGACTCTTTTGCTGAGGTCATTGACTGTCAATCACTGCAGGGGAGCCAAATGACACCTGTTATTAGAAACAGCAACAACACCCTCTCTCTGTGGGACAGGCAAACGATTCTGAGGAAATTAATTTTCTTCTGTCTGTTGTGGGTTCCTCAGTGATTCACTTTTCTGATCCTCTGTGTTTATAGTTTGTGTACACACATAAACGTTGCTTAGTCTTATAGACCTTAGTCAGCACCATATTTAATTTCTGACAGCAATGAAAACAAGGCTGTGAGTTATAGAAGTACAGGTTCAGTGTTCAATGGATTGTGCTGTTGTTTACCAGCTTACCAATTGTTCAGCTGACAACACATCTTTCAAAAAGTCTTCCAGTAGACAAAAACTCCATAAAACTGTTTGAAAATTATGAAACTGTTATGAAAATTTCATTTAATCTAGGACCTTTATACAGCGCATGCCATTGTAAACACTGTAGTCTATCTCTCACTACCTTGTTTTTAACCATATAAAATTTAATATGGCATCTAACTTTTTCTTTTAACAAGTTAACAAATGATTCTTGTTAAACTAATCAAATGAGTGTGTGACTGAATGATAGACTCACAAAAAGATGCCCACTTATCGGCACATACTGTACTTCCGTTGTGATGTAACCTGCAGAAAATGCTCTAAATGAATCAGTGAATGATTCTTTTTTGGTAAATGGGATGTGACTCAGTAGATTTTAATGGGATAATGGGATGTCAAGGAGACAATGGGATGATTGAAAGTCCCATTCACTACCACTTATTCATTGATTTGTAACAAATTTCTGTAACTGTCCTTATTTTGCTTAAATCAAGTATGTGCATATGTCTTTCCATCCTTAATGCTGTTTATATGGGATATGTATCCCAACTACCTGCAGCTCTCTCTTCCTGTAGCGTGTCTCATTAGTGTCAGCCTGGCTCTCTTCGCTGCTAATTGACCTTTAATTATCCCAGCGACCCCACTGCGGCACCACATGCATGTTACTGTAGCGATAGGGACGCACACCACGCGTTGAGACCAAAGAAGCAGTAGGCAGTCCTCTAACGGACAATAACACTTTACCAAGTGTGGAGAAAAAAATGGGCCTGTCTATATCTAGACAGACGTGGATCTATTCGAATACCGCAATATTATTAAATAAAAAAAATTCAAGCTGAGTCTGTGCAGAAGAGTTTCAGAGATGACTATTGCGCTTTCAAAACTGCCCAGGTGGAAATAAAAAAGAAAGAAAAAGGGGTGATGGGAAGTGGTACTATTTTTGTAAAAAATTTTCTCAAAAATGAAATCAAATAGAGATTATTAGGTTAAGGCAATATCAGTGCACAGCACGTCATTCTGGGAACCATCCAGTCACTGTGAAAACCTTATGAACTCTGTGACACTATTTGTACGTTGCTGTTCGACTTGGGCTGGTTGTCCTGGTTGGCGTCCTTCACGTAAACAGGATTATGGACACAGATGACGGCACAGGAGGAGACACTGCCTATCGCTGCGATTGGATTAGTGAATGACAGGAAGTCGGTGCCCAAGCGAGGATATGATCTAAGTGATGCGTTACCGCTGTACAGATCACGCTAATATGAACAAGACATCTGCTTTTGGGACATATATGACTGACAAGGGCAAAGAATTGACATGAGATAAAGACATACAGAAGTCATGTTTGCTGTGAGCAAGCCCACGATAACAGTTAAAGGAGTCATACCACATACATAATGGACCTAAATATAATAATAATAATAATAATTTTTTATTCTGAGGTTCAAGGATATGAGAAGCAGCAGGCAGAGAAAGATGAGAAAGGGATACATTTGTTTTTTCATGATATGACCATATTTAAATATGGAGGTGATATGAAGAAACACTTGAACATACACACATATTCTGATTATGTGTTTTGTAGAAATGTGTTGTGTTGATAGTGATTGGATTGTCCATGTATTTCATTTTGGTAAATTCCCTTCTAGTGATCCAGATGAAACAGCTGCAATTTCATTTCATATTATGAAAGATGCTCGAAGAGAAATAAGTCCACAACCATAATCATTGCGTAAACTCCAACCTAAACTTGCGAAGAGACTGCCAACATTCATTTAATTCACATCATCAACCCACCTGTCAAACGACTGTGTAGAGGTAGTAATTAAAAGCATTAAAAACAAAAAGTATAATTAGGCTCACAGCGGTGTCTGCCTCAGCCTCCATGTTTGAAGCACAAATATGGTCTCAAACATAAAAGGGACAGAAGATCCCCAAAGCTTGAAAAGCAGAGTCGTTTTTTGTGAGTCACACTTTGAAAGGTTTGTGCCATTTCTTCTTCTTTTCGTTTGACTTTTGATGACTTTTGAAATGCTGGTTAATAAAATAACACACTTATTTCATCAACGTTTATCCCATTCATCCTAATACTGACTTTAATCAGGATAGATGGGATTTAAGTTTAATTAAAGTTTATGACGCAAACCTATTACGAGACCACAAAAACATTCCACCAAAATTTCAGCAAAAATGCAGTATGGTAATTGGTGCATAAGATACTCTGTTACCCCTTTTCCACCAACAATGTGCCAGTGCCAGAGCCCAATCTGGTCCTGTTTTGATATAAATACAAGGACATTAATTGTAAATACAAACCTATTTGACTTAATCTTTTCCCTGAAACACATAAAGGAAGTGTTAGGAAGAATTACTGCAGTCACTATTGTAGCAGCACACACCTAATGATGTGACAAAATTCACCTACTGTGCTTAACTTGCATGTTGAGGTTGTTTCCTTTTTAAGAATGTTATGCTTGCATTTTGGTTGGAGAGCATTAAGGTGATTCAGTCGGTTCACGTTTTTTCATTCAATTAAACAGACAACTACCTAGATGTGGCGACCCCAACGTGCAAAATGAGTCTCCGCCTGGGCGACCCATGCTGCAGCTTGCTGTTCCCAAAACTCTGGTATCTCGAGAGTGACTAAATTGGCAATCACTAGTCAAACCACAACAACAACAAAAAAATATTTGGAGATGTCCAAGAGCATCAGGTCAGCACATGTAGGTGTTAATGCAAACACAAGCAACATGGAAATTGGATGAAAAGCAGAGAACCGGTTAAACCACTTTAATGGACTCCGACCAAAAAGCAAAAGTACATCTCTTAAAGGGGAAACAACCTCATCCCACAACTTAACATTCTTAAAGGGGTATGAAACCTCACAAGCACAGTATGTGAATTCTATCACGTCTTGAGTATATGTCGCCACACTATAGTGAATTTTACTGCATGGAAAAATGGTGCAATTAAATTAAATAGTGACTGAGGCAGTCAGTCATCTCCTTTAAGTTTCCCCAGAGGAAAGTCAATTGGGTTTGGAGCAACATGAGGCTGAGTAAATGATGAAAGAATTTTAATTTTTGAGGGTACTATCCCTTTAAAACCAAGAGAAAAGACCATGATGTACCATATTTGTTTGTGGGCAGTTATAGCATTGTTCGGCTCTCAAATGTGGCTCTGGCGGTGCTGGAAGAGGTCCACAGATCCCCTGGTCGAGCACCGGCTCAGTGGAAAAGGGATATGCATCCTGTGTGGCATGACAGGGCTTTAGTAATCACCAATCTCTCCAAAAGAGTGGAAAACAAAACAATAAAACAAAGAAAAGGCAGTGAAATCAGTGTCAGAAAACATAGCAATAAAACCCCATACCCTCCTCCTTGTATCCCTTGATGAGTGTTAAACATGCATAAGGGGAATGGGCAGTGGGGGAATAGGGGAAAAAAGGGTAAATGGATTAAAGGGATAAAGGAGCTGGAGAACAAGCACACACCTTCGGTGAGGGAGGACACAGGCAAAGAGACCTCCATGCATGCGGCGGACTGGGCCTTGCGGAAGGGCGGTCGGCCGGGCCCCCTGCGGGCAAGGCGTGGCCCTTCAGGGCCCCCCGGGACTCTGGCCCTCCCAGTCGGACAGGGCTGGGAGGTTGGGCTAGTGCAATGTCCATTCACATGATCTGTAACAACGGGCATAGCATTAGCAAAAAAAACAAATGAGATTGAAAATAGAAGAGTGTGTGAGAGAGAAAGAGAGGTGAAGAGGGCAGTGGGATGAAAACAATGCAGCCGCAAAGGAGAGAGAAGCGTTAAGAGTAAGAGGAAGCAGTCATATAATAGCAGCTTTAATCAGCCAAAAATCATTCTGATTTGAAAAGGAAAATGGAAAGGGGAGGGGAAAGGGAATTGGAACGGAAAAAGGATAATGGAAAGGGAAGAAAAGGGGGGAAAAGAGAAGGAAATGAAAAAGGAAAAGAAAAAGGCAAAAGAAAAGGAAATAAAATGGGAAAAGAAAAAAAATAAACAAGGAACAGGAAAAGGAAAGGAAAATGTATAGAGAAGTAAAAATACAAAAAGAAAAAATGAAAAGGGACTAGAGAAAGAACATGGAAAAGGAAAGGAAAGTTGCAGGTAATGGTAGCTGTTCAAAAAAATAAGCATTCAGAGAGGCTTTCTCATCCCTTCTCAACTAAGACACTTGAAAGGACGAAGGTGGAGGAATTGATTTTACAGAAAAACAGAAGCTTCCCTCTGCAGTCTGTTTATGCAGGAAGTTGAGGGAGGTCTGGTTGAGTATGCAGGAAAAGACCCAGATTCGAACTCCCTGCATCTAAAACAGCACATTTTTCAACAACACCTCCAACACACCTGGATCAAAGTCTTACTAGCATCTACCTGAGAGAGACATCCTGTAGCCAGAAGCTCTCAGATGGAAGCAGCCTGTTTATATGTTCCACAGTATCCTCTAGGTTATGACTGACTCCGGACTATTTTGACATTCTAGCTGTACATTTCCCTCCCTTCCTCCATTTTATATCTATCAGTCATTTTCATGCCAACGCAGCCATTCAAATCCACGACTGTCTGCTGTCATTTCATATCAGTGGGATTTCTACTCAGTCATTTTTATATCACACAGTAGACTTGGCAACCAAAACTTTGACACTGACTCATGGTGCAACAAAGCACTATTAAGAACACCATCTGTAGTACGTTTGAGAAACTATCATCATTTTGAAGACTACATTAGTTCATATTTTCTTGTATGCACAAGTTTTTATAATACTAGTTACACACTAACATTTAAAATTTTGGGGTCAGTAATAATTTATATATAAAATATTTTATGGTTTTGAAAAAAATAATTAAGCAGCCCTATATTCAACAATGATAAGAATAAGAAAAGTTTCGTGAGCACTAAAATCAGCATGTTATAATGATATAAGTATCATGTGACACTGAAGACTGGAATAATGGCTGCTGAAAATTCAGCTTTGCCATCACAGGAATAAATGATATTTTAAAATTGCTTACATTTGAAAACATGTCATTTAAATTGTAATAATATTCCCACAATATTCCTGTTATACACTGTATCAATCAAATAAATGATGTCCTTTCAAAAACATTTGAAAAAATCTTACCAATCTTACGAAGTTATGAATGATAGTGTATGTCTATGTTTTATTTTTGTAAAAAACATATTGCTACATCAAACACATTTTACATTAACTCTCATGACACTAACTAAAACACAATTGAATGTGGTAACTGAGCAGGAATACAGCATCTTCAGATGATTTTCCTGCAGGACTGATATTCTGTTCATGAAAGTCAGAGAACATCATCTTAGAGTCAGGATGAGAAAGCCCAAAAAATGGAGCCCAGTCCGCAGATGTCTTTACATCTGTTTTCCCTGGCCTGCACCAGGGACAGAGTTTCTAAATGAGCCCAGGTTCATGAAAAGATACAAGGTTTAGGATAGTAGAAAATATTACAAAAGCCCCGGTGCATTCAAGGGGAGACAGTTCCAAGCACAAAACTACAGAGAGCCTACCTGTAGACACACACCCTAACTCTCTATTTGAGCCACACACACATACATTACACTCACACAACACTCATAAATTGGCTTTCTAATAACTATTGATTTTTTTATGTCCTTTTTCTGTTTCTATGACCTAAACCTTCAAGATATTTTCATATTACAAAATGACCCAAGACCCGCTTTCTAAGTTCTAATATTTTTCCAAGCACAAATCGAAACCTTCGAGGATTAGAAACATGTGTAATCACTCATGGCCCAGATGGTCTATTTTCCTTTGTAATGCTGCACAGCTTGACCTGTTGAAGGAACACTTTCATTATTAGACATTAGGTCAAGTTTGGCACAAGAAATTGGAGAGGAAATTGTTCAGCCCTCGGCGAGAGGTGTGTTAGTCACAGCCTAGCATGAAACAAAAAGCCAGACAAGAGGAAAGAAAAAGGAAAAGAGAACAAGGAAAGATATTCAGCGAAAGAGACAGAGTGAGTATTTCCGTACAAGGCTGAAGAATGATCCAAGTCACGATGAGGCAAGCTCACTTGCAGAGAATGATCTCATTACATTAGTGAATGTCGATCAGAGGTAGAAGATGGTCCAATCACAAATGAGCAGGCTTTTCATAGAGTTAGAGAATGGTCCAATAGGGTTAGAGCATGTTCTGAGGTATAGAATGACCCAATTATGATGGAGCAAGGTCTTTAAGACGTAAAGGATGAACCAGTCGCGAAAGAGCAAGATTTCAGAATGATACCTTTCTTAACTTAAGAATGAGTATGTTGAACAAACCACCTTTGTAAACACTTGCAAAATGTACATTGAGAAGCATAATAACATTTTTTTAAAAGGCCACACGCAGAGATGTGAGGAGGGAAATTTTGAGCCACGTCATGAATTCAAATGAGAAGAAAGTGAAAGAATAAAAATGCATTAAATATGAACTGTAAAATGCAAAGACAAGGGGCTTCATCATGTCATTCTCAACAGGATGGAAACAGAGAAAGTTGATGCATCGAACGCAAGAATAAGGAAAAAGGTCTGCTCGCTTTCGGCCTACCGTACCAAGATCAGTCTTAAGATCTGTGGGTAGACTTAACTTTCTGCCTGGTCCCTTGACTGAAACAAAAATAGGACAGAAAGGGGCAATTAATCCAGTTAAGAAAACAAAACAAAAGGCAAAATAAAGAGATCAGCTCAAATTAAAAGAAAAAAAGAAAATCATTTAGTGTAACACATGCAGGTGTACACACTGACATGTAATGTTTCATACGACAGTCATGCCTGATCGCACACTGCCACCAGATAAACAGATGTGTCTGTTTTTAGACAAGCAAACACATGCATGCAGAACGCATCTAAGTTCAGACGCATAACTAAAAAAATCTATTTTTTTAATTTCCGTTTCCTTCCATGTTGATAGGGGAAAAAAAATGCATGAATCAATCAAAATAACTGCAAAATATACAGATTGGATCTACTGTACTATATTGAACAGAAACCACAAAAACCGCACAGAAACCAATCACGTGTGTGCATGCATACACAATTGGTAAAACAAACACAGAGGTTCAAATTAAAGTGCAATCAGATAAACAAAGTGAGGTCAACATTTTGCAAGCATTTTGCACTGAAAAGGTTAGAGTGTATACTGAGCGGAATGTCTAATATGGCAGGATTACTGCTGAAAAAAGTATGTATGAGTGGATCCAAAATACTAATTCAACATCAGTTTCCAATGTTATGCAGGCAAAGAAATTTAATAACCAGGCATGGTATCCCAAAGAACATCTCTCAAAGTCTCTATTTATATGATGTACTCCAGAACACTAAAACATGTTGATCAGAATACTTCCCAAGATGACACTCTCCTCCTAAGCATCATTTCGATTAAATGATTTTAAAGTAGGGTTTGATATTAGAATGTCATTTTCAACAGGGTGCTAATGCTTTTCCACTTATGGATTCCATGAAAAGGTTTGATGAATGCAATTTGCTTTCCTATGTTGACCAAAGAGGTCTATAATATCTGGAGAAAGCTATACATTAGCACTCCCATTCATCTTGGCTGGAGCAAGGCCACCGTTTAGAGACCTTTATGTTACTTGCAAAAATTTTACATTTTCATTTTGAATGGAAGATGGTGTACTTGTGGCATTAACTGACCCCTGCTAACTGGATCATACTAGCAAACCAAACCAAGAGCCATACATATATATATATAGATGGAGATATATCATCCTCTCTCTCCATCTCTTCGGAGTTGGATGAGATTTGAGCATAAGACAATGCGGAAATTGCTCCTGAAAATGGCAGTAATTAACATTCTGGGATCAATAACCTGTGCCTTAGATGTGGAATGCTTCCCATTACTCTCTACACTGAAAAAATCAATCTGTGCACACATGTGCAGGTGTGTAAACATGAAAGAGAGATCCACAGGAAGTGTGGGCTACCTACATTTTGATATGAGAGCAGCACATTAAAGGGTTATTTCACCCAAAAATGAAAATTAGCTTGTGTTTTACTCACCCTCGAGGCATCCTAGGTGTATATGACTTTCTTCTTTCAGACGAATCCAGTCGGAGTTATATTGAAAATTATTCTGGCTATTCCAAGCTCTATCATTGCAGTCAGCGGGTGTTGCAGTTGTACAGTCCACAAGCTGCCAAATAAAGCGAGCGCATCCATAATAAAACGTGCCACAGACGGCTCCGGGGGGTGAATAAAGGCCTCCTGTAGTGAATCCATGTGTTTTTGTAAGAAAAAATATCCATATTTCAAACATAATAAACACTTTTCTCTAACTTTCATTATCTGTCATATGTGGAAGCCGTTCCGGCGGATGACGTAGCACGTCGGCGTTGCGTGATTAGTGACGAATGCGGAGAGAGAACAAAACAAAACGCCGGTCACAAATTAGAAGTACAAACCGAGGATTTGCAAAGAAAAATGTTGGAGGATTTCGATATAAACCAAGAGGAGACTGTTTTCCTTTGCTAAAATAAGGAAAAGTTGCTTCCTTTGCTCCTATAAACAAACTTGCGAGACTAGCATATCTCAGAGGTGCGCGCGCTGCGTATATGTCCTCCGTCATTCGTCGGAACGGCTTCCGCATATGACAGATAACGGAAGTGAGAGAAAAGTGTTTATTACGTTTGAAATATGGATATTTTTCTTACAAAAACGCATGCATTCACTACAGGAGGCCTTAATTCACCCCCCAGAGCCGTGTGAGGCATGTTTTATGACGAATGTGCACGCTTTATTTGACGACTTGTGGACTGTTCAACTGCAACACCCGCTGACTGCAATGATAGAGCTTGGAATAGCCAGGACCATTTTTAATATAAATCCGACTGGATTCGGAAACTATATTCTCCCTGTGTGTGTTTTGTGTTTATAGACTGAATAAACCCATGTTAGACATCTTTTGTTACTGTTATCCAGTGGCACAGCTACAATGGCAAACATAACAGCTGGCATCCGCTGATTTCAACGTCAGACCTCAAGTGGCCACCCTGTATTATTGTTTTTTCCATAGGCACAATTTCAGGAGTCGTTTAGCTGCTCGTTAGAACGTTCCGAGCAGCATGGCTTCAATCCCATTGACTCCTCTGTGAGCCTGACTCGGATGAACGGTAATTTGGGATTGTTTTTGGAAACATCTCAAAAAATGTCTTCTGCTATCCTGCACTGCAATTTGCATGAATTACCGACTCCTTTGCTTTCAGCTCACGTCATCTTCCGCTAATTCGTAGAGGCGGATATACTTCAGGAGTAAAGATGCCGACGCCAGACTCTACGATGAATTCAAAAGAATTTCATTCTCAGAAGCATGCATTAGCATTTTTGAGCCACAGTGTTGTTTTTGCTGAAATTAAATGTCAAATCTTCAGCATCTTCCTCTCTTGTAAGCCTTTCATCAAAAATACATTCATTTACTTCTGTCTGGCAAAAGAATACGTCACTACTTAGCATCACCGATTTGGTGACCTTTGTAGTGACCCAGTATTTTTTTTTTAAGTGAGCCAACGCTTAAGGCCATTCTCATGCAGAACATTTTCAAAAGTGAACAAAAGCATTATTAGCATATAATTCTCATGCTTGTAGCCATTCTCTCTGCCATGCTCTCGGAGACAAAGCTTTGCAGTCTGGCACATTTGTGTAGTTATATAAATCCATTTACATTAGTTGCATCTACACAACTAACTATAAGTTTAACATTTTTGGTATTTGCTATGCCTTACATAACAAGTTTTAACAACACTTCATCAATGTACAGAATAACTAGAGCACTAATCATTGATAAAATAAGTTAACCAATTAATTAATTCAATTTTAAGATATTGTAAATGTCTTCAAAAAACAAACATGTGCTCAATAACACACATACTGTACAATCATGGATGGCGGAGCTACTGAGGGCCAAAGAAAAACCCTTGAGAGCCTGTTGGGGTCTAACTAAAGCAAGTTTTTTCTTTTACAAATTGTGTTTGTCATGCTGTACAAAATGAGCCCAGTGAGATCTTGCAAAAAAGCTACATGTTAGAACTGATTTTGTTAATCATACTCAAGCAAAATTTAAATAGTAGGGTACAATGGGGCTGAAGGTGCATTTAATTAAATTTTCTTAAACATCCACATTTACTCTGCATGTGGAAATTTGGCTGATTTGTAGCAACATGTTTTTTTAAACAGTTTTCTGTTTTAACTATTTAACAGTTTTTCAATAACTGAATATAAAAGTATGTTTTTTTTTTTTGAAAAAGCGCCCCTACTGTTGGGACCAAAGGTACAATAATTGACGTGAAATATCTGGCTGAGTTTTCCATTTTGAGATTAGATTTTACTGATTAGTATAATTTAAAACATATTTCAAAATATGGTATTAATCATATCATAAAATCTATTTATTGTTACTACCGTAGTCATATTAAATTATTAAAAAATCTCCTTCAAACAGTGAAAAAAGCTTTCAGAATTTTTGACTTTTATATTTTGTACTTTTAAAATGAATGTATGTATGTTTTAGGACATTTAAATGATTATTTTTATTGAAATGCACAGAAAATGGTACAAACTTTGCTAAAGTGATTGTTTTGAACAAGTATTAACTTAAATATTATGCAAAATATTACTTTTGCTATAATATTTGTATTCGAATAAGGGTATAAAGCTTATCACCTCATATATTTGTATGATTTCTAATAAAACCAAACAAACAAATTTTATGATTTTGTTTCCCATTTAATGTGTTGTTCCATAAATATTCAATAATAAATATATATTATTTTATTTTATTTTTTGTTTGCAAGTATACATTATGAAAGGACTGAATAGAACATTTTATTAATGTTTTAATGTCTTTAGCCCTGTTGTACCCTGTGGCTCACACCCAAACTGGCCATGCCAACAGTGCTAATGCTAATGTTTGGAATGAAAAAAATAAAAATAAAACGGTGAAAAAGAGGACTACTGCTCATTTTAAAGAGCAAACAAAATTTTGAATTTGAATTGAATTTTGAAATTCAGTAAAATTAAAAGAATCCCGTGTCAAGTCAGCCAACGGAAACTACATGTGACAAAAATGAAAACAGAATTCATTTACATGTAAAAAAACAAACAAACAAAAAAAAAACAAAAGTGTCATCTGACCCTACTGGACCTCAACGATCAACGCTCTGTCTGGGCTACAGTCACAATATCACCCCTCTCATCAACACACACAATACATACTACCTACTACCATGCCTCGATCACACACATGCCTACAATAGCCAAACGTGAAGCACACTTACACATACTCACATACGCACTCACACACACCTACACCTACACCTCAGCAGCACAGAGCGTAGCACAGGGCACTACGAGCGTAAGGCTACTTCTACTGCAGCATGCTACCCCCAAACAAACACCCACACACACGCAGACGGAGAAGCACATGAGCCGTTGGCTTGCTGTGTGTGGGTGTTTTTAAGGGGCTGGACACATTCTTACCATTGTCCAACAGGTAAAAGACAGGACTGTAGTGGCAGGACCGGAGGTTGGACACAGGTTCCCCTGTGCCTCGAGGGTCATTATGGAGGGAAGGGGTGTAGGGTGCTGGAAATCAGAGATCACAGTCATTGTCACATACCAGGCTCAATTAAATACAGCCAAACAGCTTGTTATAGGTCATTGGGATTCATAACAGGACCCTACAAGTGGAGAAAATCACACACAAGGAATTTTAAAATAATCTGATAATAATAATATAACCATATTCTAAAGATTATAAAAAATTATGTTAAAACAAAACAAAAATATATTATTTTTTATATATAATTTAGGCTGGTGGTAATTAAACACTTATGGCGCTTAAATGCTTTCATGCCTCTTTATAGATAAGTTTTAATTAAAGTAACTTTTGGTTGTGAACATGATTTTGAATCTGTTAAGTGACTTATACAAAGAGCATTTGAGGAATCTTAGGCATGCCATTGCATCGACCTTTGTTTAATGTGCATTTATTAGAAAAGCCAGTCTTGACCTTGGAAAATATCTGGTAGAATTTTTTTCAGCAGCAACTGACATGCTTTATTTTTATTTTTTAGTCGAGACTAACAAGTGTATCGCAGGACTCCTGGTTATTCTGCTTTAACGATAATGTCCTTGCTCAGTCTTTTCTGTAATCATCTGCCCTTCTGTCCAAAAGCTTAATTTTGCTCTCATTTAAATACTGTTTCTTGCCATTTCATGCAGATATGAACTCAGGACTGCCCACATTGTTTCACCCATCTGTGCTGCAGCATCAGCTTACATTACATTGACTTGTGCTTTGACTTTACCTGATAACAGCACATCTAAAAACAGGGTTATTATTAATTTGAATGAAAAGCAAATTAAGTGCAATTTCCAGTCTAAAAAAGGCAATGTAATGAACAATACTGCACAAATTATAGCGATCACGAAGAAGGTCCTTATTCTGTCCCAAACGTGTACAGTAAAGTGGATATACAGTATACAACACCCCATCAGTTATATTCAGGTCTATAGTGACACCTGTTGGCGCAGTTGTGTAATTTAGAGAACAACTTTCATTATGTCGAGATCACGAGAAAATTAAGTCGTAATATCAAGAAAACAACTTTTGTTATGTCGAGATCACGAGAAAATTAAGTCGTGATCATGAGAAAACAGCTTTCGTTATGTTGAGATCACGAGGAAATTAAGTCGTGATAAGGAGAAAACAACTTTTGTTATGTCAAGATCACGAGAAAATTAAATCGTGATAATGAGAAAACAACTTTCGTTATGTTGAGATCACAAGGAAATGAAGTTGTGAAAACGAGAAAACAACTTCTGTTATGTCGAGATCACGAGAAAAATAAGTCGTGATAACGAGAAAACAACTTTCGTTATGTCGAGATCACGAGAAAATTAAGTCGTGATAAGGAGAAAACAACTTTTGTTATGTCAAGATCACGAGAAAATTAAATCGTGATATCAAGAAAACAACTTTCGTTATGTTGAGATCACGAGGAAATTAAGTCGTGATAACGAGAAAACAACTTCCGTTATGTCGAGATCACAAGAAAAATAAGTCATGATAACGAGAAAACAACTTTCGTTATGTCGAGATCACGAGAAAATTAAGTCGTGATAAGGAGAAAACAACTTTTGTCATGTCAAGATCACGAGAAAATGAAATCGTGATATCAAGAAAACAACTTTCGTTATGTTGAGATCACAAGGAAATTAAGTCGTGAAAACGAGAAAACAACTTCTGTTATGTCGAGATCACGAGAAAAATAAGTCGTGATAACGAGAAAACAACTTTCGTTATGTCGAGATCACGAGAAAATTAAGTCGTGATAAGGAGAAAACAACTTTCGTTATGTCGAGATCACGAGAAAATTAAGTCGTGATAAGGAGAAAACAACTTTTGTCATGTCAAGATCACGAGAAAATGAAATCGTGATATCAAGAAAACAACTTTCGTTATGTTGAGATCACAAGGAAATTAAGTCGTGAAAACGAGAAAACAACTTCTGTTATGTCGAGATCACGAGAAAAATAAGTCGTGATAACGAGAAAACAACTTTCGTTATGTCGAGATCACGAGAAAATTAAGTCGTGATAAGGAGAAAACAACTTTCGTTATGTCGAGATCACGAGAAAATTAAGTCGTGATAAGGAGAAAACAACTTTCGTTATGTCGAGATCACGAGAAAATTAAGTCGTGATAAGGAGAAAACAACTTTTGTTATGTCAAGATCACGAGAAAATTAAATCGTGATATCAAGAAAACAACTTTCGTTATGTTGAGATCACGAGGAAATGAAGTCGTGATAACGAGAAAACAACTTCCGTTATGTCGAGATCACAAGAAAATTAAGTCGTGATAACGAGAAAATTAAGTCGTGATCACGGGAAAATAACTTATGTCGAGATCACAAGATAATTAAGTCGTTATCACGACAAAACAAGAAAGAAAGAAAAAAATAATAATTCATGGCCTCTTAGAACTTCCATAGAAAATAGCTTTAACAAGCCAAAGTCTGCCATTTTATTCCAAAAACATTTAAAATATCTTACCATCAAGGCAGAATCCTATTAATTACATTGTTTGAGATGTAGTGAGGGGAAAGTGATGCATGTCCCGTATGACAGCTGTTCGACATCTCTCTCTAAAATTCTACAAAGCCAACAGCTCCCATATGAAACACCCAGGCACATTTACCAATTGTATGATTGTATGATGACTCATATCACATTTATGATTGTAAAGCGCTTTGGGTGTACAGCAATACACAATAAAGCGCTATATAAAAAATGCATCATTCATTCAAACATGAGTGCAATGAAATACATACAGTAAACACAAACAAATAATGTATTAGTATTCTCCTTCCTCATCATTATTTATATTTTCTCTATAGTCCTTCAAACTTTCTTTTTATGCTTCAGTGGCTGATGCCCAGAATCTCCGTCCAATTTTTGGCTGAATTCCCCATCCACTATCATCCGGGCCATTTCCCGACTCCTGTCATAATAGCAGCTTCCACATAAACACATCTGAATTACTCGGCAGCCTGAAGCCAGCACAACAAATCCCAAAGAAGAAAACACACAAACGATACTGTTCTGACAGCCAGCTCTTTACCACAGAACATTCAAGAGAAAAATCACACACATGTGACTCCTGTGCTTCACTACAGGCTTGAGACCTTAAAGGAACTGAAAACGAACGTTCTTCAATACATCAACTTTTCTGTATTCCACAAAAGAAATACATTTATATAGGTTTGCTAATTTTCACTTTTTGGTGAATTATTCCTTCAAATGCTTGATACACAGCCACATTTCAGAAGTAAATCTCATGTCTCCTTTCTTTCTCTCAAACTACTAATGTCAGGCTACAGCTCAGCTCGCCTTCCCAAGCGACTTCCATCTTTCAGGCTGCCTGCTGAGCTGGGAACTGGGAAAACAAGCAGAGGCTTCAACTGCACTGAGACATGAGAGTGAAGTGAGAGAGAGAAAAACAGACAGCAAATTGTGTATTCTTGAGACACCACACAAAATGTGCCTCTGATATTTCAAACAACAATAACTTCAAAAAGACACAATGCAACATTTCTTCCCCTGAGAAACCAAAGCTTTACTGAAATAATTATTCTAAATTAAGAGCTCTATTTAGATCCTCAAGGACAAGCATTTGGACAAGTTGTTGTCATCATGTTCATCCCACTGAGGCGATGCAAACATTGAGTAGACCTCTGTAAACATTATCATATCCTCATAAAAATTCTACACAGGCTATGATGGCTTTAAAGAAGAAAGAAGAAACAAATACATTGGAGGTAAGAGAGCAGAGGAAAAAGCCTCCAGGGACTGAAGACCTGTGCTGTGGGGAAACTGAAAAGAGGACAGAAAAGAAAAAGATGAAAACTGCTGGTTTGATGAAGGTTTGAATGTTTTTGTGAGTGTCGCTATTGTATTGTTTTTGTCGTTAAAGCTGAAATGTGTGACATTTGCACCACAAGTGGAATTTCAAAAATAATGAATGTTATCAAACAGGTTTTTTTAAACACTCCCCCATCATTAGGTGCATTTCCATTACAGGTTTGCGCAAAACTTTTGCAATATTTTATAAATGTTGATAAAAAAACTATTGCGAAATGACAGTGTTTCCATTAACCGATGTTATGTGACTAAAACGCAATTTTTTCCTCTTGCAAAAAGTCACGATGACCAATGTTGGGAGGTTAATGTATGTCGCAGTCACCGCACTAGCCATTATTTTTAATTGAAGGAGCCGTAGACATGTATCTTTAGCAAAGCAGTGTGGAGATTCCTTTGCAATTTTGAGATATATTCCATTTTCGATTTGCCTGAAAAAACACCTAATGTTAGAGTAAATTTAATTTTTGCAATATATATGAGTTTTTGTAAAATTGACATATTTCCATTAGGCGTATTTTCAATTTCCAATTTCAATTTGCGCAATTTGAATGGTAATGGAAACTGTTACTGTTTCCTGTGGGGTGTGGCTATTAGAGACGGGTGTGGTTATATTGGGGTTATTATAGGTGTGGCTAGACATGGGTATGGCTATCAGAACTAGGAGTAGGTGTGATTATCAAAGGTGATATGGCTATTTGAGGTGGGTGTGCTCATGAGTGGGTGTGGCTATAAAAAGTAAGTGTAAGTCAGAGTGATTATCAGAGGTGGTGAGGCAATGAGATGTGTATACTACAAAAAGGCATAGAATAAGTATGCAAATTGAAACACACTCTTGGTGTGATTATGATACATTATATGGCTATTTGATGTGGGTGTGGTCATTAGTGGGTGTGGCTATATTTAGTGACCGTGACCAGTAATGGATGTGGCTATCAAAGGTAGAATTAGGTGTGATTATCAGAGGTGTGTATGGCCAATCATGGGTGTGGCTATCAGAAGTAGGAGTAGGTGTGATTATCAAAGGTGATATTGCTATTTGAGATAGCTTGGTCATGTTTGGGTGTGGCTATATTAAGTGGGTGTGGGCAAGCATGGGTGTGGCTGTCAAAGATAGAAGTATAGACGTATGCTTGATTATCAGAGGTGGTGAGATTATCATAGATGTGTGCGGTCATGAGTGGGTATGGTTACCTGAGGTGGGTGACTTGCTCCTCTCTAGGTCCAAAGACACCTGATTATCAGAAAGCTCCGTAAGGCCTGCCGTGGAGAAACATGGAAGGCACAGTAAGAGGAAGAAGATGACAATAATCACCGAGTTCCATGACCAGCAAACACATTTGCATGCATCAAATCACCAGGACAAACAATGTGGTCTGAGACACTATCATGATCCTGGAGCGATGCAAGGAAGATGTATAGACATCTTAATAGCATAGAATTTTTTAACTTTTAACTAGGCGTATACGGTACATTTATTGCCATGACGTGGTTGTTCTGTCTGTTGTGAATATGAGCTGTTCAACCACTGTAGGGTATATTCACTCCAGAATCAAGCATGTGCACCAATACCAACAACAATTCCATGCATGCGTGTGCATGCAGGAGAGACAAAAATCGCATCGATGTTACTTGGGGCATGACGGTAAAAACATGATAAGGCCTGCACTGCAGAAATATAATTTTGAAAGTGTGTGTGTGAACTAAAGTTTATCTGCAAAGTACATGCTTAGCTAATCTTATTATTAAATAATAACAATAACTTTATGATTATGGTCATATTCATTAATGCAGTGAAAGCCTCATTTTCACAAATGAGATTAATTCTTTTGGCAGAGTATGTTTTTTTTTTTTTTATATTGCATTTTTGGGCCATCATGATTATCAGACACATTTCAGATTTTAAAAAGTTCTACTGTATATAAATTCACTAGTCACTTACTGTACAATAATTTTTTTTAAAAGCTTATTTTTTTAGCAATGTTGACTTAAATTGTTATTTTTATATCGACTTTTTTCCCTACACAAAAAAGTTCTATTTTTTGTTTAAATGGAAAAGTCATGTCATCTTTTTTTTGTTAGTTTTCCTTGAACTATGAGAACGTGGTCATTTTTGATTGGTTCATTACACAAACCTTTGGCACAAATCAATAAAACACTTAGCAAGGAGACAATCAAAGGTTGTAATTGGATGTTTCGATGTATGCAAATTCAGAATATGTGATATTCTGTAACAATTAATTGAATTACTATAAATAATGCTGCATTGACTGTAATATGGTATGGTAATTCTACCTTTTGTAAACTTCATCAAAATAACACATTTTGATAAATGACATCCCATTGTCTGTGCTTTGCCTCCTTGCTGTTGTGTTGCCCCTATCGGCGTTTCACTGGAGACATGACTTACTCTGGTAGGAAGTACGGATCCGTTTCTTTGAATCGGAATAAAAGTTAGACAGGCCGCGCATGCAAAAGTCTGCAACAGCGCCCCCATGCCCCAGCACCGCCACCCACGAGAGGAGACACGGAGCGAGGGAGGAAAAGAGGAGGAGAGAAGAACAAAATAGGCTCAGAGTGACAAAACGCATGTGTCCGCAATCCGAGCAAGACCCAGTGTACTGAGGGAGAAAATGAAGGAATGAAAATAGGAAAATGAATCCTAACCTTTTGCTTTTTTTTTTACTTCTACCGAAAACAACAAAATAAGTCAGAAAACAGAACTAAACATAAGGAAAAACCTTTCAAGATTAACAGCCACCACAGAAGGTGGCACTGAAATTGTACAAACAAACAAACCAACAAAACAAACATAAATATTAACATAAATAGAAATGACTTCTCTCTTCAGTGTCTATCTTAAAGTGTATATGTGAAGATGTATAAGTATTAGTATTATGGATTCATTTTGCTGATGGATACCCTATCTAAACCGAATGACAGCAGGCGGATCACATGCACTGATGACAATAATCACCGAGTTCCATGACCAGCAAACACATTTGCATGCATCAAATCACCAGGACAAACAATGTGGTCTGAGACACTATCATGATCCTGGAGCGATGCAAGGAAGATGTATAGACATCTTAATAGCATAGAATTTTTTAACTTTTAACTAGGCGTATACGGTACATTTATTGCCATGACGTGGTTGTTCTGTCTGTTGTGAATATGAGCTGTTCAACCACTGTAGGGTATATTCACTCCAGAATCAAGCATGTGCACCAATACCAACAACAATTCCATGCATGCGTGTGCATGCAGGAGAGACAAAAATCGCATCGATGTTACTTGGGGCATGACGGTAAAAACAGGATAAGGCCTGCACTGCAGAAATATAATTTTGAAAGTGTGTGTGTGAACTAAAGTTTATCTGCAAAGTACATGCTTAGCTAATCTTATTATTAAATAATAACAATAACTTTATGATTATGGTCATATTCATTAATGCAGTGAAAGCCTCATTTTCACAAATGAGATTAATTCTTTTGGCAGAGTATGTTTTTTTTTTTTATATATTGCATTTTTGGGCCATCATGATTATCAGACACATTTCAGATTTTAAAAAGTTCTACTGTATATAAATTCACTAGTCACTTACTGTACAATAATTTTTTTTAAAAGCTTATTTTTTTAGCAATGTTGACTTAAATTGTTATTTTTATATCGACTTTTTTCCCTACACAAAAAAGTTCTATTTTTTGTTTAAATGGAAAAGTCATGTCATCTTTTTTTTGTTAGTTTTCCTTGAACTATGAGAACGTGGTCATTTTTGATTGGTTCATTACACAAACCTTTGGCACAAATCAATAAAACACTTAGCAAGGAGACAATCAAAGGTTGTAATTGGATGTTTCGATGTATGCAAATTCAGAATATGTGATATTCTGTAACAATTAATTGAATTACTATAAATAATGCTGCATTGACTGTAATATGGTATGGTAATTCTACCTTTTGTAAACTTCATCAAAATAACACATTTTGATAAATGACATCCCATTGTCTGTGCTTTGCCTCCTTGCTGTTGTGTTGCCCCTATCGGCGTTTCACTGGAGACATGACTTACTCTGGTAGGAAGTACGGATCCGTTTCTTTGAATCGGAATAAAAGTTAGACAGGCCGCGCATGCAAAAGTCTGCAACAGCGCCCCCATGCCCCAGCACCGCCACCCACGGAGCGAGGGAGGAAAAGAGGAGGAGAGAAGAACAAAATAGGCTCAGAGTGACAAAACGCATGTGTCCGCAATCCGAGCAAGACCCAGTGTACTGAGGGAGAAAATGAAGGAATGAAAATAGGAAAATGAATCCTAACCTTTTGCTTTTTTTTTTTACTTCTACCGAAAACAACAAAATAAGTCAGAAAACAGAACTAAACATAAGGAAAAACCTTTCAAGATTAACAGCCACCACAGAAGGTGGCACTGAAATTGTACAAACAAACAAACCAACAAAACAAACATAAATATTAACATAAATAGAAATGACTTCTCTCTTCAGTGTCTATCTTAAAGTGTATATGTGAAGATGTATAAGTATTAGTATTATGGATTCATTTTGCTGATGGATACCCTATCTAAACCGAATGACAGCAGGCGGATCACATGCACTTTGCTGTTTTTGTACCCACTGGAAGTTGCTGCATCACAATGTTGCAGTTTGTTGATTGTAATGTAAGCATTTTTATTTTTATGTCGCTTCACACACAATGCAAACTGCAGCACTGCTCATACAGTGGGGTCCAAAAGTCTGAGACCAGACTGAAGTTGTTGGTTTCAAAAATTGATTTCAAACCTGGAGATAAACAAAGTTTTTAGATTTTAAAGAATTTTTATAACAAAACACGAATACTTTCTGCACAATTTTTTCGTCCCTAATCAAATAAGCCTATTATGACCAATTCTCAATCAGTCATGATTAATTTATGTCATGAACCAAAAGGGTCCAATAATTTATTGGCCACTGATAGGTCTTTAACTCATGTAGGTGTACATAAATTTAACGATATTTACACTACAATTCAAAGGTTTGGGGTCAGTGATTGATTGATTGAATCAAAATTAAGAACAAAGAAATCCATCTCAAATAAATGCTTAAAAAATCTATTCATCAAAAAATTCTGAAAGAATAATATTCAACATTGAAATGCTTCTTGAGCAGCAAATCAGCATATTAGAATGATTTCTAAACGAAAATGCGACTCTGAAGACTTAAGTAATGGCTATAATTCAGCTTTGACATCACAAGAATTAATTATATTTTAAATATATTTAAAAAGAAAACTTATTTTAAACTGTGATAATAATTCACAACATTACTATTTTCACTGTATTTTAATCAGATCTATGTAGCCTGTGTGAGTATAACATAACAAAATATAGCATAGAAAACTACTATAAAAATACAAAATTACGATTGCATTTTAATGAGGGAAAATTGCTGTATGCACTTTTTAAAAAATAGGGATGCACTACATTCAAAATTTTGATTATACTGACAATATAATAAAAAACCTGCATTCAAAATTTCAAAATAGAAACATTTTGACCAGTGGTCTCAGACTTTTAGATCCCACCATATATAAAAAGAATGACTAAAAATGTAATCAATGATAGAATAAAAACTGAGTGGGACATCTGCTCCTTTCATCGGATTGGAAAACAGAGAGAGAGTACAAAACAGTCTCTTTATTCACACTGGCCTGAGTGTGTGGGTGAGCGTTAAGACGTTTTCTCTCTTTTTTGAGAGCTTACATAAGCTATGGATCAAAATCACTCTTCGACCGCACCGAACGACCTTTCTGCCCACCTCTGCATCTCCATGTCGGCTCAAAGCCTCTCAGTTTCTAAAGATACGGCTGCCTGAACAAGAGGAGGGAGAGCGACCACTTTGAAGTGAGGAGCCAGCATTGCCGCCTCCCCACAGCTTCCTTTTGATGAAGCTCTATGAAAACAGATCTTCATCTTCAGCTTTCACTTATGACATCTCCTTTCTCTGGATGGTCCATGTGAGTGTGTATGTGCGTGAGCAGTCGGGGTAGGAGGAGAGAGGAGGGCAGGTGGAGCGAAATCTGTGCTGGATTAGTAACAGCGAGTCCGTATGGCAGGTTACGTTGTATTATCTGTTAGGTGTCGTGCTCAGGCAAAGACCAACAGCAACAGAGATACAACAGACGACATGCAGAGAAGGCAACCAGGAATACAGTCTGTCCCATGCAGTTAAAGAGAGGGACTGTATGTGTGTGTGTGTGTGTGTGTGTGTGTGTGTGTGTGTGTTAAATGGACAAGAGACAGACTATTTACAGGCAAGGACAGAAGTTAGACAGCCTGAGATTTGCAAAGTTTGGTTTTGATAGCTGAAATGCTGAGCATGTTTGTAGATGCATGCCAGTGACGTGTGTGTTCACAGCTTTCAAGATTAACAGCCACCACAGAAGGTGGCACTGAAATTGTACAAACAAACAAACCAACAAAACAAACATAAATATTAACATAAATAGAAATGACTTCTCTCTTCAGTGTCTATCTTAAAGTGTATATGTGAAGATGTATAAGTATTAGTATTATGGATTCATTTTGCTGATGGATACCCTATCTAAACCGAATGACAGCAGGCGGATCACATGCACTTTGCTGTTTTTGTACCCACTGGAAGTTGCTGCATCACAATGTTGCAGTTTGTTGATTGTAATGTAAGCATTTTTATTTTTATGTCGCTTCACACACAATGCAAACTGCAGCACTGCTCATACAGTGGGGTCCAAAAGTCTGAGACCAGACTGAAGTTGTTGGTTTCAAAAATTGATTTCAAACCTGGAGATAAACAAAGTTTTTAGATTTTAAAGAATTTTTATAACAAAACACGAATACTTTCTGCACAATTTTTTCGTCCCTAATCAAATAAGCCTATTATGACCAATTCTCAATCAGTCATGATTAATTTATGTCATGAACCAAAAGGGTCCAATAATTTATTGGCCACTGATAGGTCTTTAACTCATGTAGGTGTACATAAATTTAACGATATTTACACTACAATTCAAAGGTTTGGGGTCAGTGATTGATTGATTGAATCAAAATTAAGAACAAAGAAATCCATCTCAAATAAATGCTTAAAAAATCTATTCATCAAAAAATTCTGAAAGAATAATATTCAACATTGAAATGCTTCTTGAGCAGCAAATCAGCATATTAGAATGATTTCTAAACGAAAATGCGACTCTGAAGACTTAAGTAATGGCTATAATTCAGCTTTGACATCACAAGAATTAATTATATTTTAAATATATTTAAAAAGAAAACTTATTTTAAACTGTGATAATAATTCACAACATTACTATTTTCACTGTATTTTAATCAGATCTATGTAGCCTGTGTGAGTATAACATAACAAAATATAGCATAGAAAACTACTATAAAAATACAAAATTACGATTGCATTTTAATGAGGGAAAATTGCTGTATGCACTTTTTAAAAAATAGGGATGCACTACATTCAAAATTTTGATTATACTGACAATATAATAAAAAACCTGCATTCAAAATTTCAAAATAGAAACATTTTGACCAGTGGTCTCAGACTTTTAGATCCCACCATATATAAAAAGAATGACTAAAAATGTAATCAATGATAGAATAAAAACTGAGTGGGACATCTGCTCCTTTCATCGGATTGGAAAACAGAGAGAGAGTACAAAACAGTCTCTTTATTCACACTGGCCTGAGTGTGTGGGTGAGCGTTAAGACGTTTTCTCTCTTTTTTGAGAGCTTACATAAGCTATGGATCAAAATCACTCTTCGACCGCACCGAACGACCTTTCTGCCCACCTCTGCATCTCCATGTCGGCTCAAAGCCTCTCAGTTTCTAAAGATACGGCTGCCTGAACAAGAGGAGGGAGAGCGACCACTTTGAAGTGAGGAGCCAGCATTGCCGCCTCCCCACAGCTTCCTTTTGATGAAGCTCTATGAAAACAGATCTTCATCTTCAGCTTTCACTTATGACATCTCCTTTCTCTGGATGGTCCGTGTGAGTGTGTATGTGCGTGAGCAGTCGGGGTAGGAGGAGAGAGGAGGGCAGGTGGAGCGAAATCTGTGCTGGATTAGTAACAGCGAGTCCGTATGGCAGGTTACGTTGTATTATCTGTTAGGTGTCGTGCTCAGGCAAAGACCAACAGCAACAGAGATACAACAGACGACATGCAGAGAAGGCAACCAGGAATGCAGTCTGTCCCATGCAGTTAAAGAGAGGGACTGTATGTGTGTGTGTGTGTGTGTGTGTTAATTGGACAAGAGACAGACTATTTACAGGCAAGGACAGAAGTTAGACAGCCTGAGATTTGCAAAGTTTGGTTTTGATAGCTGAAATGCTGAGCATGTTTGTAGATGCATGCCAGTGACGTGTGTGTTCACAGCTGAAATTTATTTTACACACAGTATTTGAACATTTGTGGGATTCTGAGACACATAGTGCATGTGTACCTGATGTGGACTGTCGGTTTTTGCGAGGAGAGCGTGTTAGTCGCTGGAAAGGGTCTGCGGATCCGTACAGCTCCAGGGTGCTCATACACAACAGAACGGTTTTCTGCAGGCAGTCCACCACTACCAAACCATTGCAGTTACCTAGAGCCAACCTGCACAAACACACACACACTCACTGATCATACTCAACTATGTTTCATATTAGAAGTGTCAGATATACAAAAACCCATCATAAAGTCCAGTTATGACTAACAATATTTCTAACAATCGCAGTTATGTCTAAATATAATATGATTATTGAATGTATCATACAGCTTTGCTCAGTTTACATTTCCCTTGAAGAATCTTTACGATGTTTATATTTTTCTTTTATTATTTTTGCATGTATTTTTAAAGTGGGATAATAAAAATAAATTGCATTTATTTATTTATTTTTAGCACTGGCCTGATGAAATGTTTGACAAAACAGATAGGACAAAACTGATGCATATAGTCCACAAAACTAAACTGATATATACAAATGATCCTGTTCAAAATTAAATATATAAGGTCAAATATAAATTCTTAATATATTAAAAATCTAAAAAGGCAAAACAAAAAGATAAATAAATTCAAGAGTAAATTCAAATTAATTACTTTCTTTATATGCATCAAAAAATGAAGGATCATGTGACACTGAAGACTGGAGTAATGACTGCTGAGACTGTTGAGATGGCTAAAGGCTGTCGCACAGCGGACGAGAAGTGCAGCGCCATGTCTTTAAATTTATTACACAACGTTTTATAATTATATGAGTGCACGCACACCAGCGGCGCCATTCGGCATCTCTCTGCGGCGCCTAGCAACAACTTTAAACAATGTAAAGACAGACGAGACAAGATGGACCGAACCTCGTCCGGTGTGCAACCGGCTTCAGAACCATCTTAGCACTGGAACAAATTAAACTTTAAAATATATTACAGGAAACAGTTATTTAAAGGTGCCATAAGAATTCATTGATACAATATTTAAAATTGTTCTCTGATATCTACATAGAAGGTATGTGGCTTAGGTAAGGGCAAAACATCTCCAGAAACGGTTTTACATGTCCATTTACAACCCTAGGATTTGTCCCTAGAATGAAATGGCCTGTTTTTACCTTATTTGGAAGGGTCATGAATAATAATGTTGAGCTCTTCTCTGATTGGCTGTTTCACAGTGTGGCTCATTTCAGTAGCTCACACAGCATGAAGGAAACACAGGGGAAATATATATTTCAATACTCTCTCTCGCAGTTACATCATTGGGTAATTATACTGTATATAAAATGCAGGCATCAGGGAGCCGCTATTAACCCTCTGATGCATGAATTATTAAAGAACAAAGTAATAATTTTTTTACATGTTTGTTTTTATTTTTAAACAAGTGAAAAATCATGCCCACCATTTTTTTTGTCAATATATTATATTTTGAGGGAGTTACATATCTGTCCACTGTAGTGGACACCATGACTCAAACGTATAAAAAGTAAATCAATAGAACTTGATGGGTGGTCCTAAAAAATACATCTTTAAATTATTTACTATGTGAAAATGGTATGAATACACATAAGAACATTCAATAACAACAAGCTATGTCATGATGGCACAGAAATGTGAAGCTTAACAAACAAAACGTAAGAGTGTGTGTCTATGGGCCAGGGGTGTGTGGGGCAGTGTGTGGGGGGGTGGGCTATTCATACACATGTGAGCACAAATACACACACACACACTCGAACACAATCATGCACGCATATAGTATACATGTATACATTTTATATGACCTAATAAATAAATATAGACTGAAATAAATGATAAAATCTGAAGACTATTTAATATTTCTGTTCAATAAAACCATGCAAGTGTAAATTATATCATAATTTTAATAAAACATACAAAATAAGGCACAACCTATATATAGGCCCATAGGCAGAATTATACCCTTTGGTGCATGACGTCTACTGTAGTGGACAGGTATATTTTCTGTCACAGAAAACAATGTACAAGAAAAATATTGTTAAAATCTGGATGAAACTATTTCTGACATCCTCTTTAACTGAAAAATATTTTTTGTAGCTGTCTGGTTTTCTGAGAATAAAATTATTTAACACTTATTGCCGAGGTACATGATGCATCCCCTTTTCCTGCCACCATTTTGAATATATTATGCAATGTCTCTAGTTAATATCTTTTTTAAAAAATTTTTTTATCTAAAAATAGATAAAAAGACAACAATTAAATGGAATCGTTGACAACACTTTGGGGGTTCGCCAGTTGGTGGTTGGAACATGATACTACATCTTAAATGGTTCAAAATAGCTTCCAAATAGTTGTCCACTGTAGTGACCACGATGCATCAGAGGGTTAATATATTCAAATGCACAATCGCTTTTTACTTTCACTTTCGAGATTTGTGATCGCACATGCTCTGTGTAAACTACAGCGGCAGTACTTAACACACATTTTACAAGATCAGATGCTTGTCAGTGGTGCTCAGGATCTGTAAATCATTTGCCATCATCCTCAGTCATCTGTCCTTACTCTGTTTATGTGGTAAGTGAAATCTCATGTCCTGCAACAGGCTACCGCTAGCAAGCAGCTAACCATGTTCCTTTAGTGGCTCGCGTTATTTTATTAGAACGCCCGTTATTTGTTTTCCGTGCCTTTCTGAATACAGACACCAACCTATCCCTGCACATCACATCCCCTGCACAGCCTGTAACATAACATTTATTTCCATGATCTGCCATTTTCGCTATTATCCTCGCTTGTTTCTTCACAATACCTGCAGAACTTCTGATGATTCGGCTGTGCAGGGTCGGCTGGGCTGGCATCGAACATGGGCGGGTATATGCAAATGTTGGGGGCGTAACTATTAGTGATCCCGACTGTAACGTCACAGTCTGTGTTATGTTCTGATTCGCCTATTTTTCAGTGGTCTTTTGCATGCACAAGATTTACATAAGAAGGAGGAAACCATGGTGTTTGAGGCTCACAGCATGTCATTTCCATGTACAGTACTGTTATTATTCAACTATGCCAAGGTAAATACAGTTTTCCATTCTATGGCACCTTTAACAGTTTTTAGTTATTATACATTTATAAATTATAATAATGTTTCAAAATGTTATAAAAATGTTTTTACAGTATTTCTGACCAAATAAACACATGAATATAATTTATGTTGTCTAGAATGCTAAACATCCAACAGGTTCTACAAGGGTTAAAATGTAAAATGAGACTGATTTTAAAATGTTCCATTAATTACTGGTAAATCCCACACCGTGGGTCCAGTCATTAACAAACAATTCACAAGACACACATACACAAATGCGGACTGTATGCCACTGGGTGTGCAGTGACATTTAATTTGCTGGACTGAATTCAAAGGAATTCAAAGTCTTTCTGACCATTGTAGCCAGACATCACCATGGCAACCTTATTACCTTAATAATGCTTTAGTGATTAAGATTGCACGTGGTTGTGACTGAATCAAAACAGGATGACAACAAGTGAAAGATTCAAAAGAAGGCCAAATTATAATTAGAGTTTTACCACTTTAATAAAAAAATCAAAGACCCTGCAAGCTGGAATAACAGTTGGACACGTGAGTCTGGAGTTTTTATGATGACAAAATCAATTACATTAAACATGGGAACACTAATGTTTGATTACCATACTCAGTTACACTTTATTTTAAGGTCCAATTCTTGTCATTAACTGCGACTTTTGCCTCAATAAACTCCTAATTTGCTGCTTATTAATAGTTAGTAAGGTACTTGTTAAGTTTAGGATCAGGGATGTAGAATATGGTCAAATATGTACTTTAAATAGCCAATATGTTAATAATAGGCATGATAATAAGCAACTAGTCAATAGTGGGAATTGGTCCTATACTAAAGTGCTGCCCCATACTCATATACCATAGTAAATAAATCCACAGAAGTTCACAAAACCTTGGTATTACCATGGTACTGTATAGTAAAATACTACAGTATTTATTTTCAAGGCAAAATGGAAAACAAAATATTAAATTAGAGGAAAAAGTAAGGATTCTATTGGCTGAATAAAATAGATGACATAAAAGAGGAAGGGCCACTTACAGTCCGTAGGCAGAGTTTAAATCCAAGCTGGTGATTTGTTGTGGCGGTTCTCCATCAACCCATAATAACTGAACCACCAGCTCTGCCTGGTACCCAGGAGGCATTCGGATCATACGATCTTTAACCCTGTGATGAGAGTATTCAGATTCAGTACATGTGGAATCTATTTTGACTGTTACACTTTATTGACCTAATACTTTCTTTGTAGAATTATCTAGTAAGCAAGCTAATCTTATCAAGTCCTACATAGGAAAACATAAATATTGAGCAATTGCTGCATAGTCTCACTTGAGGCAAGGGATGCTATCCCGCACACTGTCCGGCGTGTTGCTGCGGGGACTTGGAGGCTGAGGTTGGGGCGAGAGACCGCTTGGGTCCGAAAAACATGGAGTGTTCTCTGCATCTGACGGAGAGATGACGTCCTCCATCTCACACTGCAGTCGCACTTCTAGGGACTACACACACAAATGCAACACAAAGCTAATCCATCAAATCTACAGCATGTACTCAAACTCTTAAAGGTTTGCCTTAAAGAACAGTTCACTTAAAATGAGTTTCTTTCTTCTGATGAACACAAAAGCGTTTTTTTGTCCATTCAATAAAAGTAAATGACATTCAATGTTGTTTTTGACCCCATTGATCTTTATTGTATGGACAAAACATTCTTTAAAATATCTTCTTTTGTGTTACACAGAAGGCTATAGAGGTTTGGAACAACATGCAAGTAAGAAATGTTGATTGGATTTTTGGGTGAACTATCACTTTAAGAGCACACTCACAGTGATGGTGGTGTTGGCGTCATGTTTGCTGAAGCGGTACATGATGACGTGGGCGCTGATGCCGACTACACAAAAGATACGGCTCTGCGGGCACCAGCTGATCATCTGAATGGCGTAGGGGTCTTCCTCCACAAGCTCAGCGCTGCGTCCCACATCTCCACTCTTAGGCTTCTCAAACACCTTTGACGTCTTGAGCTTATACAACATCTGCAGTGTGACTGACAGAGATGGAGGTTATCACCACATCACATCTTATTACATATTGAATGTGACGCACAAGGTGTTTAAACAGAAGCAGTGCTTTAAAGGAAATATTCTGTGTTTAGTACAAGTTAAGCTCAATCAAAAGCACTTAATAGTAGCATAATGATGACTACCATAAAGATTAGTGTCTACTTTAAGAAAAAAAAAACTGACATGCAAGAAAAAAATTAATAAATCGTGCGCACAATTTACTAATTCGTTCCCTCGATGTACTAAAATGTGCACACGATTTCTATTTCGTTCCCTCGATTCACACAATTTACTAATTCGTTCTCTCGATTTATAAATCATGTGCACAATTTAGCAAATCAAGGGAACGAATTAGTAAATCGTGCGCACAATTTATAAGTCCAGGGAACAAAATAGTAAATCGTGCACACGATTTAGCCTAATATTTTTTTCCTGCATGCCATGTGCGGGGCTCCGTAGAAAATAAATTGTTGTATGAAGAAGTTATTTTTTATTTTTGTGCACAAAAAGTATTCTTGTAGCTTCATAAAATTACAGAACAATTTTAATGATGTTCTTACTATCTTTCTGGGCCTTGAACGTGTCGGTTGGGCTGCTGTCTATGCAGGGTCAGAAAGCTCCCAGATTTCATCAAAAATATCTTAATTTGTGTTCCGAAGATGAACAAAGTTCTGACAGGTTTGGAACGATATGAGAGTAAGTGTGACGAGAGGGGCGGGGCCGAGAGCCGTGGGAACGGAGCGAGGCCGGTGGAGTAATTGCTAATGCGCGACACCTGCGCCACTAGTCCAGGGAACAAAATAGTAAATCGTGCACACGATTTAGCCTAATATTTTTTTCCTGCATGCCATGTGCGGGGCTCCGTAGAAAATAAATTGTTGTATGAAGAAGTTATTTTTTATTTTTGTGCACAAAAAGTATTCTTGTAGCTTCATAAAATTACAGAACAATTTTAATGATGTTCTTACTATCTTTCTGGGCCTTGAACGTGTCGGTTGGGCTGCTGTCTATGCAGGGTCAGAAAGCTCCCAGATTTCATCAAAAATATCTTAATTTGTGTTCCGAAGATGAACAAAGTTCTGACAGGTTTGGAACGATATGAGAGTAAGTGTGACGAGAGGGGCGGGGCCGAGAGCCGTGGGAACGGAGCGAGGCCGGTGGAGTAATTGCTAATGCGCGACACCTGCGCCACTCACCGGTCTCGAGTCCCACGGAGGAGCTCCGGAAGGATAAAAGAAAGAGTGACAACAGTGTTGGATGAGAGAGGACCAGGCCTGGATTTTATTTTGTGTTTTGGTTTTGTTTCTATTTTGTGTTTGTTTATTTTATTAAAGATTTCTTTGAGTGTTCGCCAGTTCCCGCCTCCTTCTTCCCGAACTACGAACTTTGTTACAATAAGTAATTAATGACTTTTGGTGTTTTTGTGAACTATCCCTTTAAAGCCCAAGACTGATAACTGTAACAATAAAGTTTGTAATAATTGTTTGAATTCTATAAGAATAACTGACATCACCAGAGAAAAGACTCCACTCCAGAGTGGAAGCAATTTTTCAGATTTTGATTAAAACTACTAAAACAATGTTTGTTTCTGTAGATTAACTTGCACAGATTAATTGTTCACCTCAGTACTAGTGCTAACAAAGTAAATTGTTTCAGTTTTTGAGTTCATGTGGAATAAAACGTTTTAACACAAGAATTCATGTACATGTTTTTATAAAATTATAAACTTATTATTATAAAATTCTCCATAATTGGCTCCATTTATTTCCACTGTAAGTTCCTCACCATTATTTAATAGAAAACAAGAAATGAATTGATTATCAATATTATGCCACAAATGCTGTCTGCTGAACTTAACTTGCACTGAACCTGGAATATTCCTTTAAGTAATGCCCATGGTTGTGAAACCAGCACATATTTGGTATTTGGATATCCATTTTGGTCATATATTGTTTGGTTTGAGTTGTCAAGAATGAAATGAGAAATAAGGAATCATATGTCAAAGCATCAAGGGAGGTGGTTCTTCTAAATCAAGGCAGCAGTAAGAAAAAGTGAGACGGAAACAGCATGAGGCTGAAAGGGGGGAACATGCTTGTCAAAGCGAAGACACTTACTCGCCGTGGCATCCCAAAACTTTATTGACCCGTCTGCATGTCTGAGGGGGACAACAAAGAGGAAGGACAAAGAGCGATCGTATGAGCCAATGAGTGTGTGTGTTAAACCGCTTAAGAGAAAGCAAGCAATGCCAGCTATGGAAACAGGAGGGAAAAAGAGGCAGAGAGAACAACACGCAGGGTCAATAGCGCTATTGAATTAAAGCAGAGAAGTGCGATACATTTACCAATGAGAGTCAAGTAGAAGGGCACATTTTAGACATCATTGACTTCAAGTGAAAACAAACGGAATCAATGCATGCTTCGGAACAAAAACAAAATCAATCCAGAGTTTTCAAGCAAATAAAAATACTATAAATGACCTCCATATGTGGGTGGAAAGTTTCACTTTTTTGAGGCAGGGGCGTGAAACTATTTTAGGTAGGAAGTGCCACCTTGTGTGGGCCGTGTTTTTTTTTACATTTGTTTTACCTGCACAACAACCCTTCTAAAGCTACTAAAGTTCAAGATAAACTTTATGCTTTCAAAATTGAGGTGCAAGAAAAGCAAGCACATTGTTTACTAATTTAATTCTACTAATTTCACACATACTGTAGGAAGCATTTTACAAATTTTCATAAGAAGCCTTTAGATTACATAAACATATGACATCATAACAACATCATGTGACATGGTGTAAATGATACTGTGATATTCACGACAAAAGTCTGTCTAGGATGCTTGTATTTTGGACATTGTTGGTACAGTAGATACATGAAATAGACTAGAGAAAGTGTGGAAAGTAAGTTTAAAAGTTAGTATAAGAGAGTTTATTTTGTAAAAGCCGTCAGGGTCAAAGGCGCCCATATTTAAAGAAACACCAATTAATGTATTATATCTAAAAATCATTCAGTGGAGATTTGGCAACAAGTGTGAAATTCAGTTTTTACTCCCAATATTATTCCTTGTACCTGTCAATACTGCTGTGAGCGACAATGTGATAAATGCACAAGCATCCAAGTGAGAAAATGAAGTGTGTTGCTCTGGGACAGCTGAGACATCCACATATTTAGTTTCAGATAAAAAAGCACACATTGTACTCAACTTGATGCTTATGTGAAATGTTAAAAAAAGTTATTCTTCCAATACCAAATAACCAAATTCATGTAAATATAATATGTAATAAACAGAAAATAATTTGAACATGTTTTGTTAAATAATATAAACACTATAGTACAAAATCTCCAATAAATGCTGTTCTTTCGAATTTTCTATTCATCAAAGAATCATGAACAAAATATCAAGTTTTCCACAAAAAACATTAACTGTTTCTTTAGCACCAAATCAGTATATTAGAATGAATTCTGAATGATCATGTGATATTAACCCATTTAATCCACAATAGTGACCGTAAAAAGGTTTAATTTATAAAGCTCTAAAAACCTCACTGACTGATGTTTTAGTGCACTTCCTGCAAATATGGAAAAAATAAAGGGTCTCAATGAAATATGTGCAGTTTCACATGATTAGTGCAAATTGTCACATGACCAGAGCAGTTTATTTCCTGTTTGCACCTTGAGAAGATGATAACTGCATCAAAGCTCCAAAACAAAAGGCTGGTAAAGTATGTCAGCATAAAGATATGACAAAGATTATCTTTAACATGTCTAGTATTAATATATGAATTCACATATGTTCAGTTTTGTTGAGTGTGGTCATAGAATGAGTAAACATGTTGATGGTCACAATAGTGACCGGTGGGATAACAGTGAACTTAGGTTTACAATATAAATCCAATTGCAGTTGCTAGTGAAAATTACACTAAAATGTTGCAATGACAAAATATTGCACTAAATTACAAATTCAAATGTTACAAAAAATTTTACAATATTGATGTTGTAATACTAGTAGCACTAATATAAAAATGTGATGTTATATTTTACAAACACGTAACAATTTTGTGTTCCTATCAATGTTGCATAAGGTTTTTTATGCATAATAATAACCCTAGAATGTGATCAAACAGTTTAAAATAGCTGGGCTAAGATATATAACAATTTTTATGACTGCAGTAATATGTTAATTCAGTACTCACTTTATCCAACCGGTCACAATTGTGACCAACCATAAAACACAATTTTTCACACACTTTTCCAAAACAATTTCAAGAAATAATTATTGATTATTTCAAAGGGTTACTAATGATATCATCATTTGGATATTTTCATGTCTGGGAAAAATTTGGGATTAAATGGGTTAAGTCTAAAATAATGGCCTAAAATTCAGCTTTGCCATTACAGGAACAAATTACTTTTTAAAATATATTAAAATAGAAAACAGTTACTTTAAAGTGTAATAAAATTTCACAGTATGACTGTTTTACTTTTTTTTTTTTTTTTTTTTTACTGTTTTTGACCTTAGTACGTTTTTGAACCTCTTTCAAAAACATAAAAAAATTTGACCAACCCCAAACTTGAACATGAACCTGAAGTGTATTCTAAGCTGCAACTTAAAGATGTAATACCGTAAAAAAAAATGATAAAAACATTCAGCCTTGTTTCTGAGCTTTTAGCAACAACTTACAACTTACCCTGTGATGATAATCTCTGGATATGTCTGCGAACCCACCGTCCATGTGCCACCACTGACCGGCCACTCCTGAACACAAACACATAAAAACTGTTTCTAAAATACTCAACTGCCATGCAAAATAGATGACAAGTTTCACTAAGCATTTCAAATGAAAGGCTGCAATTTGGGTCATCGAGAAACTCCAAAAATGTTTAGATTAGCAAAGAACTTTGACGAACCTTGTGGCTGTAGCCGGTCTTTTTGTGTTTAGCTCCTATGGAGTAAAGCACAGGTATGATGTCGGGGGGACAGTCGGCAAAGTAAGCCGTGCACGTGACTGGAGACTCATGGATGTCCATGGGGTAGGCGTTCTCAAAGATAGGAAAACTACAGGAGAGAGAGAGACTTCAAAATAAATAACAGGCATTTATGAAACACAGAAGATTTCGACTCTCAATTCTCATAAAACAGCCTATATACACACATTTGTGACCGTACATCAACTGAAATCTGTATTTAAGTGCATTATGTTGCTACAGACGACCATAAACAGCATAAAGCAGGTGTCTCCAACCTTCCTGTAAGTGAGAGCAACCAGAAGCGATAAAAGTGCTAGAGGGCTACATGTTTGAAATACTTAAGAATGAGCATTATTATGATAAAAGAAACTGAGGCTATTTATAGAATGTGCTCTGTGGGCGACTCTAAGTGGGCTACCAGGTATTGATACCCACGAGTACTGTATTGATGCCACTGGCCTACATTTATGCAATTGAACTACATTATCCATCAGAAGAATTAATAATAATTTAGAATGTAATCATAATAATAAATTGTAAGTGCTACTGTTATTTTTATTCTTAATAAATGTGCCTTTACCATATTGCTATTGCTGATATAAAAGTAATAAGGTTCTGTGTGATTTTACCACATTTTTGAGAGTGCCTGTATTAAATCATTGTAACATACATTGCAGCTTTGAGTGGCTAATTGCTTTTACTATATAAGCTTATTTAAATAAATAATGTTTTTAAAGAACTTCAAACTAAACTAAAGTACACTTTAAAGTTCAAGTTAAATGGAATGTGTGAATGACTGTCTGGTTCTGAGAGGGTTTGAGTACAGCAGTTTGTTTATTCCTTTAGTGCATCCTTGTGAAGAAATGGCCTTAAAGCAAAGAAAACATCTGATGTCAAACTCAGATATAGCGATACACTCTTTCCCCTTGACTGAACAGAGCTGAAGCTGTCACTTCTCAAACCATTCAGAATCAGTTCCTATGTAGCATTTCACCTTACTGATGTCGGATTTGCAAATGACTTGTTCCTTTAGGTTGGATGTTTCAAAAGGTTTTGTGTAATTGATTCACAATGCATTTACCGTACCATTCAAATGTACTGGTTTGGTATTATTTTTTACGTCTTTTATACTCACCAAGACTGAATTTATACAGTAAAAGAAAATACAGTAAAATCTGCAGTATTATGAAATATTAGAGTTTAAAAATAGCCGTTGCCTGCTTTAATATATTTCAAAATGTAATTTATTCCTGTAATGACAAAGCTGATTTTTCTTATTTCTTATTACTATCAATACAGAAAACAGTTGCTTAATATTTTTCTGTAAACCGTGGTCTCCTTTTCAGGATTCATTGATGAATAGAAAGTTCAAAAGAAATATAAATATTCTATAACTTTATAAATGTATTTAATGACACCTTTGATCAATTTAATACCTTTAAATATTTAATCATTAATACTTTTTTTTACTTACAGACCCCACATTTTTTTAACAGCACTTGATAAATCATTGAATTGTAAGGAAGAATTTTCTGGGGGATAAAACAATAAGTTGAGGGACATGTTAGAGTCATAAAAAACCCAGCATTATCAAACTGGAACAAATATATAAAATTAAACGAAATACAAATACAACACCCTAAAAGAGTTAACTAAATAATTCATTTCAAAATAAGAGAGATTTCAAATGTAGAACAGGGATGTCTTGGAACTCTACTTAGTGATGATTCAAATGAAATCTGAATTTGAACCGAATCATTAAGAACTGTCTGAACGAATGAACTGTTTCACTTCAATTAATCTCCTCTCCACTCTCTGTTAACATCAGTGATTGAGTCTACAATGAGAAGAAGAACAAAAACTTGATTTTACTCAATCCACTTAAATGGCCCACCAAAATCAACACTAATGATATGGAAGAGAGCAGGAGACAGAACTGACCTGTTCAGTACACTCACCGTTGAGATAAGGCGTCTCACAGAGCACTAGGAAGTCCACTATTGGATAGTCCATCTCTAACACTGTGATGGCTTTGCCATGCATGATGGTTAGGGTTGGTCTCCGTCCTGCCTTATCATACGAAAGACCCCCGGAGAAGACAACAAATGCTTCACTACTGGAAGACGGAAAATAAAAAGTGTGTTAACTGAAAACCACATTTGTTTGTCTGAATTTCTTTCTTTAACACGTCAAGAGCCAAAAGCTTATATTTTATTAGAAGGCAAGTTTTATGCTTCATTTTTACGTTGAACGTCCCCTCAATACGTTGAAAGTATTGTTTCAATTTAAAGTCTTTTTCACAACCCTGAAATACTCTCTATGCAAATAGGAAGAGACAAAAGGGGGACAACAATATTACAGCCAAGCTAATCTAAAATATCATTATAACTGAGGCGGCCACTCATGACCACTTCTTTGAACACAGCATTGGGGGAAAAGGCAAAAAAACAAGCAATCAAAAATGGACGTTTCTTCAAATTATGTTTTGCTGCTCATCTCCCAAGGAAAACAGGCTTTATAAAAACAGGCAGTAAACTTTAATTGTTTTGTGACAAGATAAAACAGCAGTAATGGGTCTCGAGTGGAACTTGGACACATCTGTCGCAATCAAATAGGAGGATTAAATTCATCCACAGCACTCAAGACTGCATTTCCCAAAATTCATCAGCTGTATATTAGTCTGTTTGGGATTTTTGTGTGTTCTCTTACCTGTTTCTGGAGGTCTTGTATTCGACCTTGAGAATGGGTTTACATGACTCTTTTCTACCATCTCTTTGAGTCTTACCTGAAAAAAAGAGACTAAATGGTGAGTTCTCACTTTTTCATCTTAACCTTTCTTATGTTTATGTCCAGAACTTTCTGATTAAGAAACCACTTTTCCCAATGTGAGCATGTTCATCTTTATTTAACCACTGAGCTGAAGGCCAGGACCCCAAACATAGCGGCAAAGATTGAGAGTGAATCACTTATTCCTGTCAAATAAAACTTGCACACACACACACACACACACACACACACACATACAGTGAACCCACACACTGAATCATCCTCCATAATGAACACACCTGGTGAGGGGGTGTGTTTGCTGACTATGTCAGAGTCATATTTCACTAATAGATGGTGAGCCTTTAACCTAATGGCTGAAGGGGTATTTAAATGTGTGTGGGTTTACTTAGCTATACTTTGGGGTAAAATTTAGCCCTAGAAGTTAAGTAAGACTGACAAAACCTCCCTTTTGGGACATTTGAAGATGTATTTGTTGTGGAAACGATTCATAAATAAAGGCAATCATTTTTTTAAATTCTGCAAATGCAAAAAATGCTAATTTTAAAGGTTAAATGCAAATAATTTTAAAGGTTCTTTTGGGTGTGGGTTAGGGTTAGTCTGGTATAAATATAAATAGCTTTATATAAAACAATAAAAGGCTATGGTATGTCCAAATTTAGGGTATAAGGATGATACACCAGCAAAAAAAAATTTTCTTTTACAAGTTAAAATATCACATATTATATGATAGGAAAAAATGCAACTGTAATTATTCATCTGATTTAAATGCTTAAAAATTACCGTATGGTATTGAGGCCTCAATTACTTTTTTATGTCCAAGCCTGTCAATTTCTTTATAAAACATTAAAAATACAACTCATACAGAGCATGACTAGAATACATTCAATTCATAATAAACATGTTTAAACCTTTCTTAATTAAAAGTAATTTTGACATTTTTGAGAGGCACCGATTCTCACTGTTAACTAGTTGCTTGTTGGCACGCATAGCATATTGACTGTTTATTAGTACTTTTAGTATTAGTATATTAATGCCTTATTCTGCATGACTATATTTTACATCCCTTAATCTCACCCCTAGTTTTACTAGTTTTGCACTAATTATTATTAATATGTGAAAAAAGACCATACATACAGTGTGTGTGCACCCACCATGAGGGAAGGTGACTTGAAAAGGTTTGGCGGTGTTTCTCAGATTCCACATGCTCAGACTGCCGTCAGAATGACTGCACATGAACTGCCGCCCCTCGTGATGCCAGCTTACTGAGTGAATGGCCTGACAGAGAGACACCAGAAGAGAAGCCATCAGGAATACACAAATCAACTGTATTATAATGTTGGATCAGAGTAAGATTTTCTGTATATAAACTAGATATACTATCAATGTTAGATAGATAGATAGATAGATAGATAGATAGATAGACAGATAGATAGATAGATAGATAGATAGATAGATAGATAGATAGATAGATAGATAGATAGATAGATAGATAGATAGATAGATAGATAGATAGATAGATAGATAGATATCAACTATTGCTGTGATCAATTACAAAATTCATTTCAAAATTGATATTAATAATAAAAAAAGGTTTCTTGAGCAGCAAACCAGCAATATATTAGAATGATTTCTGAAGGATCTTGTCACACTGAAGACTGGAGTAATGGCTTCTGAAAATTCAGCTTTGCTATCACTAATAAATTACATTTTAATTATACTGAAATAGAAAAGAGGTATTCTAAATTGTAATAAAATAACACACTATTGCTGTTTTTACTGTATGTTTTTAATAAATGCAAATTTGGTGAACAAAAAAACAAACAAACAAGCAAGAGGGAGGAAGACAGAGAAGTAACATTAAAAAAAGAGAAAGAGAAAAAAAGAAATTCAGAGATGCTGCCTGTCACATGTGTGTATCGTCAATTTAGCTCCGGAAATTAGAGAAATCAGAGAACTGAAGACATGACTAATAGTTCCTGCTTGTGAAAGTCTCTCTCCCTCTCTCTCCCTCTCTCTCTCTCTCTCTCTCAGACCTTCATCCATCTGAAAGTCAATAATCCGATATCAGTAATTACTCCACCATCAAAGCAGCCTGATCTCCACTCATCTACTCACTAATGTCACACAGTAAATAATAAGTGAAATTATATCAGCGTCAGATTTATTTGATGTTCGTTAGGAGTATGAAAGTGTTTGATGCTGATGTTCTATATTATTCAAAGACATACCAAAAAATCAGCTAAAATTTAATCTAAATAGTCATGAGAGCGATAATATTATGATAGTGGTAGTTCTGTGTTCAGTCTATTTGTAGAAATGAATGTGAGGGAAAGAGATTTTTGTACCTTTCCAAATCTATTCCTATTTCTTTCAACACGAACAAACACATCCCTTTGTGTCGTGCTTCTCATTCCATCCTGTCTTTTTGCTCCCAGTATCTCTCCTCTTCCCTCACTCTCTCGTTCAAAGTCCTTTCTATTACATTGCATTACATTTACATTTAGTCATTTAGCAGACGCTTTTATCCAAAGCGACTTACAAATGAGGACAATGGAAGCAATCAAAATCAACAAAAGAGCAATGATATACAAGTGCTATAACAAGTCTCAGTTAGCTTAACACAGTACATGTAGCAAGGGTTTTTTAAATAATATAATAAATAAAAAAGAAAACAGATAGAATAGAAAAAGAATAGAGCAAGATAGTGTTAGAGGTCTTTTTTGCTGTTGTTAATTGTATAATAAATGAAAAGAAAACAGATAGAATACAAAAAGTTTAGAAAGCAAGTGTTAGTTTTTTTTTTTTAAGAAAACAAGCAGCAAATGAATAGAGTGCAAGTCTAAAAGGGACAAGTGTTTTTTTTTTAAAGAATATAATTCGAATAGAGAGTGCTAGAGTTAGAGGGTCAAATAAAAACGGAAACTATTAAAAGTATGTTTTTTTCCACACACGTGTGCATACCAGACGGGCATCTAAAGCAGCAATTAGCAGACCCCTAGACATTTCCATTTACCCACTCTGACAAACGCTTGCCGAGCGACAGTGCCTCTGTACAGGCGGTGCTGACAGATGATCAGAGGGCGCATCGTCAACGAATTGAAGCACGCAGTAAAGGGTTGGAAGGAGAAAAGGGTGAGTTTTTGGGAGGTTCTGTGTGTGCTGCTGTGAGCCAAGGGGCGCTGTGATTGAAACATGTTTTGGAAGGATGAATGCGAGCAGCTGGCTGCAGGAGGCAGTTCCTCTTTCAGAAGAAAGATAAAGTTGTGTGCCAAGCAGTGATTATGCTAAACAGATCCACATGGCACAAGGAGGGAAATTAAATCAGAAAAGTGACTTGTGCTCAGTGTTGTTGTAAATCAGCAACAGTGTGGAAAAAAATGAGCAGATAAGCCAAGTGTTTAGTGCCAAATGCTAATTTACTTGGACAATGGAGAGTGAGAAAGACGTAATTTTTTATTTATATAGCCTAGTTTTTTTTTTGTTCTTTCTCCAATTTATTTTTGTTTGTCTTGTTTTTGGCTGAGGGCTGGATTATAACAAGATGATAAACTGGAGCTTTCGGGTCACAGATGCACACATGCATAGAGACTGTGCACCCACACAGAGACAAAGAAATAACATGAAAATAAAACATATATGTCTGTATTTTCATACATAATGACTTCACACAGTTAAAATGAATGCACTTCATGTAAAATATATTCATTATATATATATATATAGAGAGAGAGAGAGAGAGAGAGAGAGAGAGATAGAGAGAGAGAGAGAGAGAGAAATAATACAAAAATAAAAAATATAAATCTGTATTTTCATACATAATCACTTCACACAATAATAATTCTTTCAGGATAAAATAATGTACATAAATTATAAGTAGCTTTATGCAAAAAATAAATTTCACCTTTGTAAGGAAGTGTAAGTGACAAACACTTGACACTCACCTCGTCATAGTATATCCTGAAGTCAGATCTTTTGGCCCTCAAGTCCCACATTACTATTGTACCGCTCTCAAAACCTATCAGCAACTGAGGAACACACACACAGAAGAGAGAGAGAGAGAGAGAAAGAGAGAGAGAGAGAAACAGGAGTCTATAAATCCCAACAGAATGGCAATAAATAGTGGAAGCAGAGGCAAGAGTGTGTGTTACAAATGTCAAGAGCCTTTTGGCTGTTCAGAACAAAACAGACACACCAGTGATTGGGCACATTTATTATTTAACTGGGCATGATGGAGCAAGCGCTGATCAAAACAGACCCATGCTCCATCCTGGGAATCTTCTCTCTGTCACAAATGTTGGGCAAAAATTGTGAATTTAAGAACTGGCTCCCTTTCAGTTCATGTGTGTGAACTTGAACTGAACTGGCAACACACTACAGGAAGTTGAATTGGAATTTGAATGGGAATGAAAGGAAAATAAACTTACTAAATTGCAATTTCATTACATTTGAATAATTCTTCCTTTAATTCAAATTCAAATTAATCAGACATTGGACTGTCTCTACCTCTTATATTTGTCTCTGCTTCAGTATATTTTGTGTTTTGTCTTCCATTATTGGTCCCTTAAGCCCGTCCGTATCAGTTCCCATAATGCATCTGACCTGCTGTGACTACAACAGCATTTCTACAACAGCATGTAACATTCTTTTCCTGGAAGATGACCTCACGGTACTGACTCCAAAATGCCATGCCTCCTCCTGGAGATAGCAGATTAGAGAAACGCTTTAAAGAAACAGATCCCCCCAAAAATGAACATTTCATCCCTTACCTCCATGTCATTCTACCCTGTATATTATGTTCTTTCTTCCAGAAAACACAAAGCAAGACATTAGGCAGGATGTCCTTATACTGTTACTGTTAAGCTATTATACTGTTAAGCTCCAGAAGACCTAACATACAGTGCATGAAGTATAAATCACTATCTATTTTCATTGCAAAACTATTCAGACTTTCTGCCTAACATCTCCGCATACAGAGTCGAAACAAATTGAGGGCGAGTACATGATGATAAAATGTTCATTTTTCGGCTGAACTATTCCTTTAAATGAATGTGAATTTCTGTGTTTGTGAGAGTGTGAGAGATGTTTATAGTATGCATCCTCAATACAAGATGTTAACACCAGTAGTCGGGTGAACATCAGGTCACATAACAAGTGTATGTGTGCATGTGTGTGTATCCTGATGAGTGTTAATGAATCAGAACTGTTCCAACGCATGCAAAGTACCTTTTATAAAGAACTCCAGCAGTCACACTAAGGAAAACGTCTCAGGTTACATATGTAACCATGGTTCCCTGAGAGGGGAACGAGACACCGCGTCCTCTAGGGGTCGCTATGGGGGGGATAGCATATATCTAAAAACGACAATAACATTGGCCAGCGACAGCCTATGACGTCATTACCCTGTGCGAGCACAGTATAAAAGAGCGCCAGGATAACAGCATGGCAAGAAAACTAGAGGACGCAGTGTCTCGTTTCCCTCTCAGGGAACCATGGTTACATACGTAACCTGAGACGTTCCCTTTCGAGGGAACTTCTAACTGTGTCCTCTAGGGGTCGCCATGGTGAACTGTATACCCACGCCACTATGCTGAGGGGAGTTCATGCCAGAAAACCACGGCGAGCACTAAGTACCAACTCTACCATAGCCATGGGAGTTGCCCCAAAGGACATCTTGACGGCTGTCAGTGACATTATTCCCTTCGGCCAAGGGCCTGAGCTGCATACCCTAAAATAACTTACCTGTTAAGGCTGAGCTAGGAAGTCCAAGCCTAGGGCAGAGCTCAAGGCTTGGAATCAAAAAAAGAGAATCCTTTAAGGGGATACGGCCAGGTGTCTAATAAACCACACCAGCCTGTCACCCAGGGGGGCTACCAACGGTTCTGAATAAACCTGCTCAAAAAACTGACTCGACAGATCTTAAGTAGCAACACCCTGCTCAGAAATGTATCAAAGAGACACATTAGTTGAGTGGAGCCCAAGGCAAGAACCGGGGCCTAAGCCAACTCAGAGAAAGGGAAAGAGGCTGACAGCGGGTAACCCTTACCATACAGGATTTTAGAAAGTGTGCAGAATGCTTTGCGTGTACAATTACCATAATGTGGATTTTAGAAAGTGCACAGAGCTTAGCGTGTGCACTTATCATAGCATGGATTTAGAAACACCATTGCTTAAGGGGTAACTGAGGCTGTATTAAGCCAGCCTAGGGACCCTAAGTGGCTGTGAGAACAGATTCCGAAGCATCTGCTCACAGATGCCCAGAAGTCCTCAGACACTCAACCGGGAGCGGCAGGCTCAAAGACAACCCTCTGAGGTGAGGGGAGCACTACCTGGCTTAACCCGAATAGAGGTAGCTTATCAAGGAAGTAAGCGGCCCAACTACCTGATGTCACTGCCTAGAAGCTCAAGAGCGGAGGGTTCAACCCCTAGCGAAGAGAGAGAGGAAGCCAGCTCGACCGAAGCGACCAGTAGCCCAGGGTAGAGGACCTAACTCTCAAGTCGAGAAGAAGACTCACCCAGTCTGCCCAGGACTGGTGAGCTCAAAGGGACCCTCCCACAGTAAGGGGAGCATAGCCATGCCCGGGGCAGATAGATCGCAAATGGGACATAAGAAATGGGATCCTGCTATAGGGGGATCACACATTTCTAAGGGAACAACAGGGTCCCAACATAAAGGCAACTGACCAAGGAGGCGACAGAGATGGGCCTAACACTTAGTTTGTTGCAAATGGGGTCCTTCAGGAGCAGCGCTCTTGGCTCTCAAGCTCAGGTGGGCCCTTAAAGCACTGGGAGCGACTCATAGCTAATCGTCACAGAGAGGGGAGCACTTCTCAGCTTGACCAGAAGGGGTGCTAGAATAGAAGGGGTAACCCAGCAGGGCACAATAAGAGACGATAGAGAGCGTGGGTCCCGTATAACCAGACCTGAAAGAATCTGAAGAAATAGCGGGACCCAATAACCATTAATGCATATAGAGCTTACTGCTCCTCAGAGCAAAAGCACAACAGAGGGGTTTCCACAGAAACACAAATCCCTCTTACCTCAGGGAACGCAGTGTATTCCAGCCCACTCCGCAGAGGGGTGATTACTGGTTTAACCATAAGGGCAGTGTGACAGTGAAGACCCACAGGCCCGACCGTATATGGAGCGCTGAGCATCTTTCAACAGATCAGCCTGAAAAGCCTGAAGCACCGCCATGGTGTGCAACGAGACTGCAGCCTGACCTGCTGCAGCGTATGCCCTGCCATTCAAACAAGATGCATCCTGAAGGGCAGGGAGGGAGCCTTAAGAGAAGATGTCTCCCTCTCTGCTAGAGAGATAGCAGGCCAGCATCTCTTCAACAGGGGGCATCTTTTCATAACCATTCTCACGCATCCCCTCGATGTTGGCATAACTAGTATGCTGGAATCTGTGGATGCAGGACGAGAATGGATTTTTCCAAACCCTCTCAATCTCCAAATGAAGATCGGGAAGGAATGGAAGGCTCTTTTTTTTTCAAGCCGGAATGCACGAGAAGGACCCGCAGGTCCTGAGGTTGCAGTGTTATACTGGGGATCTGATTCTGGGAGGCTTCCTCAGAAGCCCAGGCTGCATGTCCAAGCCGAAGATGAGGGCTATCACCAGCCTGTAACCAGAACCGATGAGTGAAACCATTCCTCTAATCGGTCAACAGCAGGAGGTCCTGACTTAGCAGGTGGGTCAAACTAACCATGGCTCCCGCGCATGATTGTCCAATGTCCGAAGCCTGGACCTTCATGGAATGAAGGATTTAAAGGCAGACGAGTGCGTCTTGGCCTCCTAAAAACTTCATAACCACCGTCTCGACGGAAGTGCTGAAAAGCTCAGAAGGGGAAACTGGCGCATCAAGAAGAAAGCCCTTCTCTTTCGACCTGATATCCACCAGACTCACACACAGATGTCTCTCCGTAACCACCATGGCCAGTAGTGGCCCGCTTAGTGGCATGGAGAGCAAGATCCGCGGTGCGACGCAACTCAGCCACCTTATCAGGGGATAGACCCTGCCTTTATCCAGGTCTTTCAACAGATCAGCCTGAAAAGCCTGAAGCACCGCCATGGTGTGCAACGAGACTGCAGCCTGACCTGCTGCAGCGTATGCCCTGCCATTCAAACAAGATGCATCCTGAAGGGCAGGGAGGGAGCCTTAAGAGAAGATGTCTCCCTCTCTGCTAGAGAGATAGCAGGCCAGCATCTCTTCAACAGGGGGCATCTTTTCATAACCATTCTCACGCATCCCCTCGATGTTGGCATAACTAGTATGCTGGAATCTGTGGATGCAGGACGAGAATGGATTTTTCCAAACCCTCTCAATCTCCAAATGAAGATCGGGAAGGAATGGAAGGCTCTTTTTTTTTCAAGCCGGAATGCAGTATAATGTGGTTATCTGAGAAGGACATGATATAAATAATCTGTCCAGCAACTGCAGACAGATCCACACTATACACTTACTATATAAACCAAAGGAAATTACTGATAGGGAGAAATTTCCCATCAGGTCCTTTCCATGTTCTCACCGCGATCGCAATCGCAACGCGGGAGCTAAACACGATCCGCCCAACCACTAGATTACCTCAGAAATCAAGCAAGAACGAAAAGCGAGAGGCGAATGCACTCATGCAAACGCTACCTACAAACTCAGGTAAATGGTGAAGTACTCACATCCCCCTCAGTAGTCCCGCGAATGCATCACGATGAGCACAAGTCGCCTCCTCATGAGACGAGCACGTACAATTCATGCTTATCTCTCACAAGAAATAAGCAATGAATACAGAGTGCATCCAGCTCCCTTGAGAACTGAACGCGCTTGCTCTTTACCACACACACACAGCACGTGAGCTATGTGAAACTGCAGGTATCAGAGCAAAGCCTCTGGCGAGAGAACATGCACTCCTAGTCGTATTTAGCTTAACGCTAACATAAACAAACCGTCAGTGAAGACGAAGAAGAGGATGACGTGTTATCCTGGCGCCCTTTTATACTGTGGGTAATGACGTCATAGGCTGTCGT